GTTCGGGATGCGGTTTTCCCCCTCGAAATGAAAAATGTTGTTTCAAGAATGGGTTGCGTTGGCACCTGAACTAGTGATAGGGAGTGAAGTAGCCGAGCGTGTTGATCGCCTCACTTATCTGGGGAGTCTCATCAATGCTGATAGCCTGGTGACTGACGAAATATCAGCATGGATACAGAAAGCTCGATTGTCTTTTGCCAACCTGAGTCACCTACGGTGCAGGAGACATATCCGCTTGCTAACGAAAGGACGAGTGTACCGTGCAGCAGTTCGCTCCATCCTACTATATTGCTGTGAAACATTGCCGTTAAGAATAGAAGATATTCGCAGTTTACTAGTTTTCGATCATCGATGTCTGAGAAGCATTGGTCATATATCCTGGGACAACCGAGTAAGCAATGCTATAGTTAGGATTCGGGTGCTAGCAAGGATGGCAGATCAATAGATGAAGTAATGAAACTTCATTAGTTGAGGTGGTTGAGACATGTGTTACGAATGCTTAACCACCGACTGCCACGACGAGCTATGTTTTGTTGTGTAGGAGTAGGTTGGAAGAAAGCTAGAAGCGACCAAACCAAAACATGGCAGAAATGCATGAAGTCACTGACAAGTGGACTGAATCATGTTGGTAGTTGTGGGCTATCTGGTTGGGGTCCGCGAGACGAAAGTCACCAATGGTTAGAGACCTTGAATGGCATTGCTCAAAATCGTTTCCAATGACGCAAGTGCATCCACTCTTTGAGCTCTCTCAAATCCTAATCTTCTGGATTCGTCAACACCTCTACCTTCGTCTTTCTAACCTTATCTCACTGAATTATACTTCTTGAATAATATCTTCAAACCGTAGTCTTCTTCATCACCATTAATACCTCTACTATCTCTATCACTATGAGTTTTGATTTGACATTCACGTCTCTGTGCTAATGTGCATACGTACGAAGTTCTAATTTGCAACTGACTGACTGACTGACTAGAAGTTCACACAGTTGACAGTCATAACACATGATTTTCCATAAGTCAACGGCATGGTATATTCAAGAATCTTAAAGACTAGAAGACGAGAGAGAGAGACAGAAAGTACACTATCGCCTATTCGGATTACAAATTATGTGTAAATACATGACTGTTTATGCGTATTTCGTAAGTAAGTAATTTATTGATATATATAGTTGAAGCGGATTCTTTTTGATGAGGTAATGTTTACTAAAAAACATGGTTTAAGTAGTAAAATTTTCATTAACCTGTCTGTCGGAGACGTTAAATCCCTATAACTCACTTTGAATTTTTATGTTTTCGCGCCAAAAGACGCTCATTTTGACCTTCAGCTTACACTTCCCCCTAGGGGAAGTGTGGCTCTCACCAAGGGCGTTTCTTGAGTTGTGTGTTTGTTCACCTCGTACTTTCTCTACGTCTTATCAAGAGTCATTATGTTTGATTTCCCTAATAAAATCGATTTTAACTCCCCAATCAAAAATAAAGCAATAAACTGTCAAAATAACCATTTGAAAAATGTTATTTAATTCACCGCATTCCAATTAGTTAGAATAAGACCCAATGTTATTGATTTTTTATTGATTAATCATGGGAATGGATGACCCGTTTTTGGTTCACATGATCATAATGAACTCTATTCATTGTGATTGGATATTTTCTTTCTCTTGTCTCTTGTCTCAAAAAACAGAAATTGATCGCTTTACTCCCATTATTTAAAAGTGTGTATTGGCCTTTTTTTTCTGTCTTTACTCTTGTTCAATAATCAATATTTACACTATTCACTGGATCTAGTAGTCGAAATTAAACAGTATTACATTCTCTAGTTGCTTAGGTTTGATTGATTACTTGAAAAATGACATAATGTGTAGTCGTAGGACTTCGCATCATGAAATGTTGAATTTATTTTGCATACTAGTTAAGCTACTTAAAATTAAGTCAGTAGTTCGATTGATTTGACTAAAAATCAGTTGTATTCATTAAAAAATTTTTATTAGATCACTTAAAAATTTTTTCCACAAACTTCCTGGATTTATGTTGTTATATATCTCTTTCAAAAATCATCAACATGAAGTCATTTTTTACCTTCGTTTCTACTCTGTCTAAATTTCTGCAGAATAAGGAATGATCACTTCCATGTGACCGGATTATTTTTCATTAAAAAAAATAGTGAGATGGTGGAGAAAACTTGTAGCTCAGGTGGATGATTGTGGTGGTGTTTCGTTCTCTGAGCTGGTTGTTTTGGTTGTGGAGCTTTCATTGTTCTTCTGAACAACATCATCAGCACGAACTTCAGATAGAAGTGAAGCATTAGAATTTCTCCACGTTTGACCTGTAGCTTGTTCTGCTAACCTCGATCTTGATTGGTTGTTGTTGACTTTGACCTGTCGTTGTTTGCAACTATGTTTTGATTGCCTCCCTCTTTTGATCTGTTTCTTGATCTAGTGTCACCTATGATTTTCCTGATTGGTTGATAAATTGGGTCAATGTCGATGTGTTTGTTGATTGCTAATTGACCTGAGTGCCAAGCTTCTAAAAATTCTCTAGTGTTCTTTGTCCTCCCCCTACCTAGTATTTCCACGTTGTTCCAATCAAATGTGTGTCCATAATTGTCGGTGTGTATTGATATAAGCGAAGCGTTGTCGTGGCGTTTGACTGCTAATTGATGTTCACGTAAACGGAGCTGAAGAGGTCGTCCACTTTGTCCTATGTAGTGTTTTTCACAATTTGAGCAATTTATTTTGTAGATGATATTTGGTTTTTCTTCCTTTGTCATTTTGTCCTTTGGTCTACATAGGATTGACTGAAGTGATTCCGTTGGTTTGTGTGCCACACCTATTCCAAATGGTTTCAGTAGTCGTGCCGTATGCTCTGATATGTCTTTGATGTATGGTAGGATGATGCGTTTATTTGTTCCTGTGCTTGATTTCACTCCTGATGATAGTTTTGGTTGATGTTTTTTGATGAAGTTGCGTGGATAGCCGTTCTTTTGGAAGATAGTCATCAGATGTTTTTCCTCGTTTTTTAATGTTTCGTATGTGCTGCAGTGTGTCTTCGCACTCTTGAACAGAGTTTGTATGCAGTTAATTTGTGGGTTCTTGGGTTGTTGCTGTCGTAGTTGAGAATTACGCTAGTTCCTCCTGAAATATTTTCTTAGCTTGATTATCATCAAGTAAAGCCCTAAGAGGCTTCCTTACGGTGTCTTTCCTACGTCCAGCAAGGCCTCAAACAAATACGTGCTCGCACTAGGGCATGATCTGAATCTAAACATGTGCCACCAGAACGAGCTGGACAGGCCTGTGTCGGACCCCTCCATCGGGGGCAGATGGCGATATGATCTAGTTGTGTCCAACGTTGAGACGACTTCGGGGGTCGCCAGGTCAAAAGGTGTTTTTCCTTATGCTTAAAATTAGTGTTTGCTAGAAATAGTTGGTTATCTGAGCACAGTTGCAACAGACGGTCGCCATTGTCTGTTCTTTGAGCCGCGAGACCGTAACATCCACCTAGGTGTCTTTCATTTTCACTTAGTCTACCTACTTGTGCATTGAAGTCACCAGCCATTATAACTATATCAGAGCGCTTAACTTTTTGGAGGAGGTCCGAAAGCTTTCTGTAAAACTCATCTTTCACATCATCTGGGCTGCAGTCAGTGGGGGCGTATGCTGATATGACGAAGAGGCAACGGCGAGTGTCCCTATCTTTCCGAGTCCTTACTGTCCCGTTCAGTCGGACGGCGCACAAGCGACTATCTACAGGGATCCAGTCAAGGAGAGATTGTTCTGCCCTACGACTCAATGCTATACCTACACCGGCGAGGCCCCTAGAAGCAGCATCAGGGCTACCGGATACACGAAGTGTAAATCGAGCTGCTTCTTTATCTTGACATGGTGAGGTCAAATGAGTGATGCTACTCGGATCCTGTATGCGCGTTTCCGAGACGCAGCACACATCGATGGAACGAGATTCTAAAGTCCTAGCTAATGATGCCTGTTGCCCTATTTGACACAATGTCCGTACATTGAATGCTCCAACATGTAGTTTGGAACGGGGTTTAAGGAGACCAGGAACGACGTTTCGCAAACTCGCATCGTTTGCATTAGCTGTGCACTGTAATAAATGAATGTGAGAAGAGTTAGTTGTGGAGATAAGAGAGGTATTAGGGAATGTAGGAAGGATTTGATTTTGAACAATTTTGTCTCGTGTGCCATTGCGGGTATGAGGGCGGTTATCACTTCCCGGCTGCCCACACCGTGGAAGGTTGTTTCTTGACGAACCTGAAAAGGAAGATGGATTAGTGTTGGTGCGTGACCGCAGAGTCCAAGGGACAACTGCTTCAGGCCGGTCACGCACGGCCTTTTTATGAGAGGTATTTAGAGGATTAGCTCCGTTCTTAAAGGCCCTTAGTGGGCACCCTTACCCAAGGAGACGGAAATCCGTGAGGTAGGGGAGGTGTGACATTTTTAGGGCCGACCTTTTCTAACCCTTCCTTCCTTGTGAGAAGGCAGCATCGCTGCAGATGCTGGTTGTCCGAGGGAAACACCTTACTGCTGTCACACCCCTCTGCAGTCAGCAGTACGACTTCGCCCTCAACTTCGCACTCAACTTATATTATCCTTATTACTGAAGAATGATATATATTAAAACAATATCAAGTTTTATTAAATTGTCTCTTTTTGTGATAAACTATTCCTCATATTCACAGCTTGTAAACATTCATTAAACTTCCGACTACTGCTAATACGCTTACTACCTCTACTACTATGGGATTTGAATTGACTATTGCGTCTTTGTACTAATGTGATATGGAAACTTGAACTGATATACGAATGTACGAAGTTCTACGTTGTAGCTGACTAACCTAAACTTCCATTTTCACCCACGAAATTTCAAACTTCAAAGTATATTCAAAAACGTTGTTCTTTTTTCTTTCATTTTGTTCAGACAACGCATTTCTTATTCAATGTGTACTAATCGCTCGATATATTTAATTGATATTCGACATAGGTGAGATGGATAAAGCAGTTACATTGTTTGATGTAAGTAATATGATCGATAAATAAATTTTATCTGTTATTTACATACCTTTATCAATCTGAAGACTGTTTATGACAGCTTATTTGCTCTGGAGTCATCTTCAGTATTTTAACGCTATATAGATAGATGTATAGTCGTAAATTGTACGTTCCTAAAATACTTAAAAACCGTTTTGATCTTTATTCTCTGGGAACTCTATTTAATATATGCATTAGGTTGTACTGTAAATAAACCGTTCAGAGTATGTTCGGACTACTGAACTTATTAAACGTAAAGGGTTTGAGGGTGAAGTCACATTATTGACCACAGAGGGATGTGACGGCATTAAGGTTTTTTCCCTCGGACAACCAGCATCTGCAGCGATGTTGCCTTCTAACAAAGAAGGAAGGGGTTAGAAAAGGTTGACCCTAAAAAGGTCACACCTCACCTTACCTCACGGATTTCCTTCTCTGGCGGTAAGGTCATTTGAAGGGCGGGGCTAACACTTCAAAAACTTCTCATAAATAGGCCGTGCGTGACCGGCCTCAAGCAGTTGTCCCTTGTGCTCTGCGGTCAAGTTCCCAGGCTGCTAAGACCAACACTAATCCAAATTTCGTTCCAGATTGCTCAAGAAACACGCTTCCACGGTGTGGGCAGCCGAGAATTGACATGCGCACTCATACCCATAACAGCACACCACATCATATCGGTCAAAATCAATCAAATACGGTTGACTAAACCGTAAAAATGTAGAGTATTCATTGGAATATACTTGGTAATTTCATTTTTACTACTCCCAATCTCAAAGTATTTATTATTTGACGTTATGTACAATTTGTTAAATTTGGTACTACAAAGGCTATCATACACAATACAACCTTTGACACACTAGTACTAGTAGAACCGTCCTACAGGTTGTAAGTCAAAAGCCAAAAGAAAAACCGAAGAATCTTTACCCCAGAAAGTGTTGAAATACACAGAGGAAGCATGTATATTCACAGTCTTTGGCTTTTTGCGAGGCTTCTATGAGCCATCTCAACACTACCGGTATTGTCCGCTAGTTTTACATAGATCTGTAATTGTTAATAACTGCAGTAGTGCACCTTCAAATTACTGTGCCGTTGATTAATTACTGAATTAATGTCACTTTGGTCTAGCCATTTAATGTCGGTTACATTCTATTGATTAAGTTTTAATGTAGACACTATTCTAAATGAATAGTATTGTCATTAGTCACTCGCCTTAACGATCACATCATCAGTTATATACACAGAACTTTTCTATCAGCATTTCAGGATTAATAATACCAATCTTATATATTAGTCAGTAGATGCATATTACATGATAACAATTATAAAAATGTGCTCATTGGTGACTAGCTTCATGAGGGGAACTCCTCGAACTGTTAGTAAGAAGCCACGACCTGTAGAGTCCAGCCCTGTTGGGTATGAGGCGGTTTCCCACTGAAGACAATGGGTAAGGTTGCGCAAAATCCCTAGATGTTGGATGTTGGCTCAGAAGTTTAGAGGTTGAGTGTTCATGCATGAAACTGAATATGCTGAGTTCTATTATCAGTTACGGAGGTCGTAGATACGCACTGCTGATGAGTCCTATACTGGGATGAAACGGCCGTCCATTGCTCCCAGGTTTCTCATAGTGCTCTCACAATGATCGATTTATGATTTCAAGAATGTTAATTTTTTTTTCTGTATATATTCATCGACCATATAATCTAATTGTCATTCATACTTTTTTCATGTAGAATCCTGATTTTAGTATCAAAGAACTAGTCCATTCATTATATTTGGATACATTAATGATAAGACAATGTTTTCAAGCAACATGCGTTCTATTACGTAATAATAATAATAATAATAATAATAATAATAATAATAATAATAATAATAAATACAATCACAAATCAGATTATTCATCAAAACTTTGTCCAATCAATTTATTTCTTTTTCGAGATAATCAACAAATCAATGTTTCATCTTTGTTAACAAGTAATTCAAGACATATCACTTCATGGACTTATTCACCGTTTAACATCAGTGATCCTGTGGATCGGCTGCCTAATTTTATCATTTGCCAAACTCCTTTATTAGTGAATATACCAGTTAATTCAATGAATCTGCCAAATATAACATCAGCACCTATACAATGGTTAATTTGTTTAAGATTAATTATTGATGATATTGATGAAAAGAATAATTCACTTGATGAATTCATTGTTTCACTTCATCCGCATATAATGAACTCTTCTTCTTCTTCTTCTTGGTTTTCACCGAAAATTCAAATTAATTTACAAAAACACCACAGTGGACAAATACATTTAAATTTATTTGCTTACACGTCGGATAATATATTTTTCCCCGATCATTGCGATAATGATGATGATGTAACAAGCTATCATCAACATGATAATGATGTAACAGTTCATTTATGTGTACATTTAGTGACTAATTCCAATTGTTGTTATATTTTGCATTTATTTCATCCATTGATTTTATCTTTTTCTAATCTATTACATAATTATTATAATTTTCAAAATTATTTCTTATGTATATCAACAAATTCAATGTTAAAAATTGTAGATTTGCTTCCTCTGTGTATATATCCTTATCGTAAACAATGGACAACTACAATTCACCAAAATCATTCAATGTTCAATGAACAATCAATGATCAATATTTTAGAATCAAGGTTAAATGATGTTTGTACGTGGAATGTTTACAAATCAAATAAATTCTTGTTATATTTAATTACAAATGATATTTTCAAAGGAATATGTATATGTGTAAATATGGAGAATGATCCAACAATGATAATTGAAATTCGTTCTAGGTAAGTAAATGTATGATTCAAGTTGATTCGTTCTTTTTTTACTATAAATAAATAAACTCATTATGATGTTGACTCTGGAACTTGAACTCATTGCCGTATGCTTCAAATGTAATCGAGTTATCATGCTGACTAAAGGACGAGTGTACTGTGCAGTAGTTCGCTCTGTCTTACTTTATGGCTGTGAAACATGGCCAATGAGAGTAGAAGATATTCGTAGGTTACTGGTTTTCGATCATAGGTGTCTTCGAAGTATTGCTCGTATATCGTGGGACAACCGAGTGAGCAACGCTGTTATTAGGAAACGGGTCCCAGGTAAGGATGGCAGATCAATAGATGAAGCAGTCAAACTTCATCAGTTGAGGTGGTTGGGACATGTGCTGCGTATGCCTAACCACCGATTGCCTCGACGAGCTTTGTTTTGTAGTGTAGGAATAGGTTGGAAGAAAGCTAGGGGCGGCCAGACCAAAACATGGCACAAATCCATGAAGTCATTGACAAGTGGACTGAGTCGTGTCGGTAGGTGTAGGCTACGTGGTTGGGGTCCGCGAGATGATAATAATCGATGATTAGAGACTCTGAATGACATGGCTCAAAATCGTTCGCAATGGCGACGGTGCATTTATTCTTTGTGTTCTCTCAAATGCTAACCTTCTGGATTCTTCAACACCTCTAGTTTTGACCTTCTACACTTATCTCACTGAATTATACTTTTTGAATCATATCTTCGCTCCCTAATCTTCTCCATTACTGTTAATACTTCTACTATTGCTATCACTCTTGGATTTGAACTGACATTGGCGTCTCTGTACTGACGTGGTATGGCAACATGAACTGATGTACTTACGTACGAAGTTCTGCGTTGTATCTATCTGTTTGTCTGTCTGTCTGGACAGAGTAGATTGCAAAATGCTGGTTGACAGCCTATCCTCCTATGGGGGTGACAGGCATAAGTAACTAATATATATATATATATATATATATGCATTATTTTGAACTATTACTTTACAATTGTATTCAATTTTCAATGTGTTTTTTTTAAAAAAAAATTTATTTCTTCTTAGTTCACGTAAATTACTGCATCTATTCGACCAAGTATTATCATTATCATCAACTGACAATACAATCATCAATGATCTTCATTTTATTCCTTACACTAAAGATTCATTAAAAATCAATACAAATTTATTACATAATGATAATGACAATAATCATACTGATAAATCATGTCATCAACAAAATTTACTAACTGACTCATTAAATTGTCTAATCAATGAAACAGAATTCCTTATTACACAAATGACTCAACTTGTTGAATGTACCATGCAGAAACATATTCCTGAATTACCTGTATTCTTGAAAGATTTAACTAATAATAATACTTTAGATATTGCACATCGTTCCATTGAATGGCGATCAATTGTCAATCAAGCTAGTACTCTACCGATTGATGTGGTGGAAAATCTACGCTTGAATATTGAATATTCTCAATTACGTCAACAAACAGATGAGAATTTCAAGAAAACTTTGTTTTATTGGAAATGATTTCCGGTGGGTTGTTATTTTTTTTTTCTGTAAATAATCATCTATCGTTGAAATCCGATAAAATTTTTGTAAATTTACTTACTGTAAATAATGTGTATGAATGAATGTATTCAATTTTCAATTTATTCAAAAATATAAACAACAGATTATTGCTCTTTTTTCCTCTCTCTTTCTCTTGAGGATAATTCACCATGTAGAAAATACTTATTCCTTAGTGATTTTAAAAGAAAGGAATCTGTTTTGCAACCTCCAAGCGTAAATTGCAATGGTTCTTTATGTTGAAAAGTTGAGGTCAAATAAAAGATGCTACTTGGGTGCTGTATGCGCGTCTTATAGACGCTGCATACGTCAAGATTCTAGAATCCTGGCGAAGGAAGCCTGTTGTCCTATTTATCACAAGGTTCAAACATTAAATGTTCTTGCATGTAGTTTAGAGCGTCGTTTCAGGAGGCTGGGATAACATTGCGTGTACTGAAATCTTAAGCATGAGCGGCACAAAGTGATAAAGACACGTGAGAAGAGTTAACCATGGAGATAAGAGAATTATTAAAAGGTAGGAAGGATCTAATTGTAACCGATTTGGTCTCGTGTGATGTTACAGGTATGAGGGTAGCTGTCACTCCCCGACTGCACACACCGTGGAAGGGTACTTCTTGATGAACCTGAAAAGAAAGGTAGATTAGTGTTGGTCTTAAAGACCTACGAGCGTGACCACAAAGGGACAGCTGCTTGAGTCCGGTTACCCACGGTCTTTGTATGGGATCTTATGGAAGTATTAGCTCCGCTCTTCAAATAGCCTTACCGACGGAGAAGGAAATCTGTGACGCAAGGGCAGGTGTGATATTTTTAGGGTCGACCTTTTCTAACCCCCTCCTTGTGAGAAGGCAGCAGCATCGCTGTAGATGCTGGTTGTCCGAGGCAAACACCCTACTGTTGTCGCTCCCCTCTACAGTCAGCAGTGCAACTTCATACTCAGATCTTGAGTTGCTGCTTTTAGTCTCACCGCTTGCTAACCAGTAAAAGTAGAAGATGTTCGTAGGTTATTAGTATTCGTGTATCCCGGGACGACCGAGTAAGAAATGCAGTCGTTAGGAAATGGGTACTAGGTAGGGATGACAGATCAATAGATGAAGTGGTGAAACTTTATCAGTTGAGGTGGTTGGGACATGTGCTGCGTATGCCTAACCACCGACTACCGCGACGAGCTATGTTTTGTGACGTTGGAGTAGGTTGGACGCAAGTTAGTGGCGGCCAAGCCACAATATGGCACGAATCCATGAAGTCACTGACAAGTGGGTTGAGTCATGTTGGTAGATGTAGACTACCTGATTGGGGTCCGCGAGACGAAAGTCCCCGATGGTTAGAGACCTTGAACGACATGGCTCAAAATCGTTTACAATGGCACTGGTGCATTCATTATTTGTTCTCTCTCAAGTTCTAACCTGAATTCCCCGTCATCTCTATCTTTCTCTTTTTAAACTTATCTTACTTCTTGAATGATACCTTCGATCCGTAATATTCTCCATTACCACTAATTCTTTTACTATCGCTACCACTATGGGATTTGAATTGACAGTTGCCCTCTGAATTATTCATCACCTTTATGTTTCTCCTTTTAAGTTTATTTAACCAGTTTATACCTCTAGAGAGATATCTTCGATCACTAGTTTTTATGATTACCACTATTATTTTTACTACCTCCACTACTACTGGATTTGAAATGATAATTGCATCTCTGTGCTAATGTAGTATGCCAACGTGAACTGATGTACATACGTGCGTACAAAATCCTACTTTGTGACTGACTGAGCTATGTGTATATAATCTGAGAGTAATGTGATCAGCTAATACAGATTGACCTAACAACTTAAACTAACATCATTTTGGGAACATTGAAACAACCAATACAAATAAATTCATCTCGGCCTCATCGCACAAGCGAATGGCTATTTGAATTAGTTAGCTATGTGAATAATGCGATGACATTTTTAGGTGACCGATATTGAGTTCAAGTTTCGAAGTGAACATCAACTCTGGGTTGTAGATGCAGATAGGTTTAGCCCATCTGTCATAAAACAAGATTAAACGCTCGTTCTGGATCCCACTATCCGTCTCTCATAACACAAATTTATCTTAAACCTAACATTAATCACGAACTGATTGGTACAATAATGCGCATTCGCGACGTCTATACATTGAAATCAAACTCATTACCTTCAGTCTGGCGTTCGAATGCTTAACCACTAAGCTGGCATTCAATGGAATTATTGTCTAATGATTCACTGCACACTATTGGTGAGTTCTAAACTGGGACGAAACGGTTGTCCAGTGCTTCTAGGTTTCCAATAGTGATCTAAGATGGATCAATTCATGATTTCAGAGATATTATTTATTTGTCGATAGGATTGACAAGCTATTTCAGTAACATAGAACATGATAACCTTCGTCTATAAGATTCCACTGTTAGTGAGACATAGATGGAATTAAAGCATGACTAAGTTGCTGTGCGCTGATTGGCTAATTTCCTATCCAATCAGCGCCTGATCGATTCTTGGAGAACAGGGTAGAAAATTCTCGTGTTGTTAGCTGCATGCTGATTGGCTAAATCTAATCCAGTCGATCACGTGAATTTCTATCCAGAAGCTTTCTCATGTAAATGCTATAAATAGACTAACGTTGTATCTATTTTTGCCTTCGTCTTCTTATTTCCATTTAACCTTTTCTATTTGGAATATAATCTTTTCCTGTTCAACCGTGTTTTTGATTCTTTTGGAACTTGTCCAGTGTATTGTGTGGTCAGAGAATACTAAGCAATAGGAATTAGCTGGAAATTATTTAAGCAAGCGTTACAACAGCCACTATCCATCTCTGGTAATACACTGATTACGAACCAACTAAGTGATTCAATAATCAAAGCTGTTAAAAAGTATTTTAACTAAATGCAAAAACAATTTCACCCAAAGAACAGAAGTATTCATGTACCTACCGACTAGATTGTAACGCTAATGTTGTTGTTTGCGCGAGTTTCATTCCTCGAAAATTATTCATTCAAACAATTTTAGAATTGAACAACAGATTGTAAAACAAACAAACAGATAAGCAGAAAATGTGAACTATTTTTATTCTTGTTTGCTTGTTTGTTGTACAAAGGGAAAAAAAATCAAATCACTGTCAACAAACATCATGATACTATTTTGTTTGATTCTTTTTTTTATTACAAAAATCAAAATGAAAAAAATTCAGTTCACAGCACACAAAAGAATATGAAATAATGTCATATGAAATAAGTAGTAAATAAGTAGTAATCTATACACAAGAAAAGAAAAAAAAAGTTGTTTCTGTCATTGTTAGTGTAATGCATTGGCGCCAGGCGGCTAGGCATCATCATCATCAATTGAACAGTTTCATATGAGAGTGATAAACAAAATATGCGGATAGAAAAGACAAGTTTGCTTGAGTGTGTGTGTGTGTGTATATAAGTCGGATTATGTAAAACGCTGTGTATATATTTAAACGATTACCGTATCCTTGATTATTTGCATATATATATAAGGAGAGAGTGTGTGAGTGAGTGAGTGAGCGCATACAATGAATCAGAGTGGTGAGTGAGTTCGTTTCCTCTGTGTGTCTTCTACTGGTTACTGTTGTTGATGCCCCTATAGTTCTGTCGGGGAAATGAGTTGAGCTGATGAGAGACAGAGAGAGAGCAAAGAAATCAATGTCATATAGTAGTAGCATTGTAGCTGCTGTTTGACAAATTCAATCGGAAATTACACATGTCCAATATAGTACGATCAATAATTAAAGATTAAAGCTGTTTTTACATTTATTCTGTATATAATTGTGAATTGTTCTCATGTACAATCGCTTGAATTTGTCTAGCAAATACTTCATCATTGGCATTATTGGTAATAGTGGTAAATTCATTTACATTGTCAATTGAATCTAATTGTTTATCCGGACTAACAACACCATCTCCATGATGATGAATCGGCGTGAAATTTGAATTAATCAAACCTGGTGTTGAAGGACTACGTGTTATACGACAGAATTCATCGTATTCTGTAGTACTATTAGTAGTATTAGTAATAGTATTAGTAGTAGTTGGTAATGTAACAGTTATAGCTGTAGTAGTAGTATTTTGTAATTTATAATTCCGATTCGTCATTATCTTACTTCGTGGTATTGTCGACTGGAAATAACCATAATCATTATTATTGATTGGTGAGCTTGCATGATGATAGTCTTGTAAATTTGTAACCACTGCCGATGCTCCCATACGAGGTTGATTACTGTGTGATCTGAAAATAGTTTGTTTTTTTTAAAAATTTTTTCAAATTAAATGATTCGATTAAGAACAAAATAAAAGTGATTTAATAAAATCTAATTTAGGTGAAAATTTTATTGATTGATATCATAAATTGATCAGTCTTGGACTACGACTCCGTCCCGCTAGCCAGGATCGAATCCAGAACCCTCGATCTCATGTGTTAGTATTGATCGCTTTATGATCTCATTGAAAATGAGGAAGTGGATTGATCGAAGTCAGACAGTAACACTGTTGAGTGCTGACTTAGAGGGTCAAAAGGTTAAGCGTTCGAAACTCCTGGGTTCGATTCCTGGTCGTTGATGTGCACTTGCGAATTAGTCCCATACTAGGTTTCCAACAGTGGTTTAACATTGGATAGATGGATTATATATATATCAAAGCATTCAGATTGGCTAGAGGTTAACCCTACTTTCGTTTGTCATTTTGACGTTGTACCTAATGACTAATGATATTGAAGTAGGAATGATTATTTTCGCTGCAAAGCTTTCACTAGTCACAATACTTTCTAACATTTTACTCATAGAAAGCCATGAACAATGAAAATTATCCTACAACAGAAATATCGATTCATCCTGTTATGGACGTGTGAAGTGTAGTGTAATCAGTGTAGTCATGATGAAAGAAAATTACAGCATGGCAAAAGTTTCACCTCCAATCAGTTCTGTCATATAAATTATTGCGAAATATGTACAACTACTCAATAAGAAACTCTGCGTGGTTTACGCTTCGGGCTATTTATTATTCATCAGCAAGCTGTACCTATAACTTGGACGGAACTGATACTCCCTTGGTGGATTCGATGCCGTATCATTGTTACGCCTGCATGTGAACACGTCATTTTGGCATACTTAAACTATTAAGAGTTTACCTAGTCGGAAAACGAGAGCGAGGATCCGGCGACACGACATGCTACTCAAATCCGATTATCCCAAACCCCAAATTGAGTAAAAATAAGAAGACAAGACTTGATATGAAGTAGAACCTGTATTCTGCATGCATCCAGAAAGTACGAGGTCCGAGTCCAGAAGAGAATCAGGATGCCGGATTAGGGATCTGGGATCGAGTCCTGGTCCTGGTCATAAAACCTTACAGATAATGCGTATTTATACATTCAGGTCGAATAGGAAACAGCATTGAAGTCTGTGACATTGATAGTTAAGACAACCAATAGGAAACAACATTTGAAGTGATATTGATAGTCAGGACAACCAATAAGAAACAACATTGGAGCACGTGACATTGATATCTAGGACGACCGTAAAATTGACCAGTAGGAATTAACCAATAAATTCTTAGGATATAGGATGAATATCCTAGCAATCATCTAGCTTCACAGTCAGAGACGTTACTACTGATCTATTCGCGCTGCGACTGTGACTTGTAGGAAGGAGGTATATATATATATATATATATATATATATATATATATATATATGGATAATGGTTTGAATTAAGTATTCTGGTTGGCGTTTTTTAGCGAGTTAGTTTTCTACGGGATGGCAGAGCTTATCCTCCCTCTTTATTCAATCTTGGGACCGGCAGTAGCCCCAGAGGGGCTCCAGGTCAAAGGAAAAGAGGAAAGCCACGAAACACAGTACACTGAGAAATAGAGAATGACATGAGAAGAATGAACGAAAAATTGAACAGAACTGGAAACGGAAGCCCTTTGGGCAGAGAGTAAGTTGAAGAATACTAGTCAGCAGTACAAACACAAATCACTAACAACTTACCTTAATGATTTTATCGATGAATTCGGCGATAATGTATGCATACCATAATTTCGACGATTCATTCCATTGGTTGCAGTTAATAATGGCGGATTTTTATCAATCATCATGCAATGTTGAGACTGTCGACCATGATTATGATTCATCAATTCATTGTCATGATCAACAACAACTTCATCACCATTCTCATAGTCGTAAATACTTCCATCATTATTGTTATAATCGTGTTGTTTCATTCCATCTGTATTGAACAGTGGAATCACTGAGATTGATCTTGGTTCATTATCACCCACAAATTCATTCCCATCATTAGGACAATGTAGATTATTATTTTCTCTATTGGGATTAGCATTGGTCAATTGTAAATTTGATGAGAATTGTGAAATTGTAGATAAATTTTGTTGTTTTTGTTGATGAGGATGAGGATGATGACGATGATGATTACAAACAGTTTTACTGGCATTGATCAGCTGGGATTGTTTGATTAATTCATTTTGCCATGTTTGTAAAATTTGTATACGTTCAGCTTCATTAGCTAAAAGACGTGCTTGTGTCTCGGCTAGACGAGCTTGTGATGCGTCGAATTCACTTTGAAGATCTAATACATTGGATGGTGTATTATTCTGGAAGATTAATTTAGAAAAAAAAGAGAATCAATAAGAAGATGGTTTTTGAGTTCTGTTTACTTCGTAAAAAAAAACTCAAGTATAATTTATGAAGTGGATTTGTGCAGTCAGTATTTACCGGTTTTAACTCTTATATACTAGTCAGTTAGTCTAGTCAGTCAGTCAGCTACAATGTAGAACTTTGAACGTAAGTACATCAGTTCAAGTTGCCATACCACACATCAACACAGAGATGCAATCGTCGAGTCAAATCCCATAGTATGAACATTAGTGGGAAAACATTACTGATAGAAGATAAGATTCGTAAGGATAACCCAGTGACATAAACTTTAAAAGAAAAAGATAAACGTGATGAGGGATTCAGAAGATTAGAACTGGAGAGAGAACACAAAGAATGGATACATTTGCGCCATTATTTAAAGTCTCTAACCATCGGTGACTTTCGTCTCGCGGACCCCAACCAGGTAGCCTACATCTACCAACATGACTCAGTCCACTTGTCAGTGACTTCATGCATTTCTGCCATGTTTTGGTTTGGCCACCCCTAACTTTCTTCCAACCTACTCCTAAACTACAAAACATAGCTCGTCGAGGCAGTCGGTGGTTCGGCATACGTAACTCATGTCCGAACCACCTCAAATGATGAAGTTTCAATACTTCATCGATTGATCTACCATCCTTACCTAGAACTCGTTTCCTATCGATAGCATTGCTTAGTCGGTTGTCCCAGGATACACGAGCAATACTTCGAAGACACCTATGATCAAAAACCAGTAAACTACGAATATCTTCTACTCTCACTGGCCATGTTTCACATCCATAAAGTAAGACGGAGCGAACCACCGCGCAGTACACTCGTCCTTTAATCAGCAAACGGATATCTCGCCTACGCCATAAGTGACGCAGGTTGGCAAAAGCAAATCGAGCCTTCTGTATCCCAGCTGAGATTTCGTCAGTCACCAGGCCATCGGCACTGATGAGACTCCCAAGATAAGTGAAGCGGTCTACACGTTCAACCACTTCACTCCCTATCACTAGTTCAGGTGCCGATGCAACCCAATCTTGAAGCAACATTTTGCATTTCGAGGGGGAAAACCGCATCCTGAACTTGCTTGCATTGTTGCTTGGGGTGGTCTGGAGATTTTGCATTTTGTTAGCGTCTTCACCAACCCCATGCCCAACCCTCCTCCTTTCATTCGAGTTAAGGACCACCAGCAGACCTATAGGGGCTCCAGGTGGCGTGCCCAAGATAGACAACATACAAAAGGCACTTACTTCTGTTGGAAATATTGCAGTCCTCTTGTTATTATTATAACTTGATACTGCACTAACAGTATGTGCAATATTTGTTGGGATAAATTTAATTCGTTGCCATTCTGTCTGTAGTGTAGATGAATTTCTATAGAATTCTTGTTCTGACATTGAAAGTTGAAATGGATCATTGAAATTCACTGCCTCCTTATCGAAATAATTCATAATGCGTGGTGAATCAATCGGTGAATGATGTTGATAATCATTTGATTTTGGATAAGTTAATGTAAGACGTCGATTTTTCTGTTCTTCAGATATGTACACTGGTGGTGCCCAATTTCGTTCATCTAATTCAATAGTACGATTATTATTATTATCGCCATTATTATTATGATTACTGATATTATCATAATTCAGAGAATTATCGATCGATTGATCAGTGTCCAATGTATTCATAGTACTGTTATTATTATTATTAGGCATTAAATTCACATAAGTATGTCGTCTAGCAGTAGATTTTTGTAAATTTTTCTTCAATTGTTGATCACCTATACCATTTTGACTATAATTATTTATACTACTCATACCAGCTTTAGTAGTAGTGGTAGTAGTAGTCGAAAAAGAATTCATAGTAGTAGACAAGGATGTCATGATGACATCAGTAGTATCTGGTGTGGCATTATTATTGATCAGTTGTTCAGATGGAATTGATTTTTGTTCTGTAAATGATTCATTCAATAGATTTGTATGACTTGAAATGGTGAAATAACCGGATGACGAAGAATTTCCTAAATTATTATTAATATTAGGCGTAAATTGATCTGGATTCAAAATATCATGACAAATTTCTATGGATGCAATGGGATTGACTGATTGTTGTTGTTTTTGGGCTGATGATTTTTGTGCAGTGTCATTGTGAATCCATAGATTAGTACTATTAATATTATTACGATTAGTACTATCTGTTGTAGTCTGATCATAAATAATAATTGGTTCTTGTGTTTTACGTGGACTTTGTACACGTCTTCGATTATCACATCGTTTAATGATTGATGTGAAATCATGATTTGATTCAGTGGATTTCTTTGATCCATTCATAGAATTGATTGATGTATTATTGTAAACTTGTTGATTGATCTCATTTAGTGAGCTATTAGTATTATTATTAGTAGTAGTGGTAGTAGTAGTTGTAGTCGTGGTGGTATTGTGAGTATTTGACTGTGAAATTTTAATAATCTCTATTGAATTACACTGTGTTGCTGTTACACGTTCTGGCATAGATGAATCATTCTGTCTTCTTTTTGCTACAACTAACCCAATATTCGAGTCAGGCTAAAATCAAAACAGGAATATTGGTGATAGTATCATGATTACTACTATGTAAACACATAATTATTGGTACAATATCCATAAAACACAAATCAACGAAAATTTCTGAGTGAACTGAGATATTATCCGGTTCATCAGAGGCGCGAGGTGACAAAGGAATGAGAGAAAGTTGGTTGCGGAGATAAGAGAGTTATTAAGAGGTGTAGGAAAGATTTGATTGTGATCGATTTGGAACGGGTATGAGGTCGGATCTCAGTTCCCGGTAGCACACACTATGGATGGATGCTATCGGATTGCTTGAACAGAAGCAGATGGTTCTCTTGGATGACTAATTTATGAACCTTTGGCTTAAAAGTCTGATTCATAAGGCAATAGAAAAACGTTCTCAGATTTAGTCCGAGCTGAGATCACCAGGCCATCAGCACTGATGAGACTCCCAAGATAAGTGAAGCGGTCTACACGCTAGTTCAGGTGCCGATGCAACCCAGTCTTGAAGCAATATTTTGCATTTCGAGGGTGAGAACCGCATCCCGAACATGCTTGCATTGTTGCTTAGGGTAGTCAGAAGACTCTGCATTTTGTCAGCGTCTTCACCAAGTAGGACAATGTCATCGGCATATTCTAAGTCGATAAGCGAGCTAGCAGGTAAAAGGTCTACTCCTGAAAATTCAGACGAGGATAAGGTTATATCTAGGAGCATGTCTATGATAAAATTAAACAAGAATGGAGAAAGTGGACATCCCTGACGGATACCACTTGAAGTGAAGAATTCCGGTGACAGTTCGCCATAAGCTCTCACACGACCAGTGGTGTTCGAGTAGAGAGCTTGTATAAGGTTAATGTACTTCTCTGGTACAACCACCTTCAGGTCTGAAACCAGACTCGTTTTCTCTAGTCTGCAAAGTAATCACCAACATTGAAGTTCAGCAAAACATGTGGGTAGATCACTCTCAAAATCTCGTGAATAAACCCGCCCTACTGAGGCAGCATCCGCGGACCTCCCAATCGATGTTCGCCCATCAAACATTTTCATTGAACCATTTAAGCTTGTCCGACTCATCATATTATCAAAATTTTGGTAATTTGAAGTCGTAGAACTAGGCAATAGAACATTTTGTTTAGCGGAATTATAAACAGAAATCAAAAAATCGCAAGATTCTTAATGTAATATGATAACACATTTCTAGTAGTTTGTGGTATTTTGAATCTTTCCATTATTAATTAGGTTTGAAACAGAGCAGTCTCATTTGTGAATTTATTGAGGATTCCCCCTTTAGAGAGCTTAGGTCACAAGTCAGTGGCTGTCTGTATTCAGTGGCTAAGTGGATAACGCACTAGCGTTTTAAGCAAATGGTACACTGATTGTGAGTCCCGAAATGAACATCAACTATGGATTATGGGAAGCAGTTGATAAGTCCCTAATAGGATTAGACGTGCATCCTGTTGGTCACTATCCATCCCTTCTTATAGCACAGATAGTACACAAGATTCCGTATTTTGAAACATTACTGTCGGGGAGCTCCAAATACTCCTCAAAAAAGTCTGTAACGGCCTAGAAAACGCATGCAAACATTGTATCCAATCGTCATTGAGTGAGACCGTCACAGAATCACTTAGAAAATTAAAAATCACGTGCCATGATTTGGATTTGATATTTACTTATACCTTTTATCTTATGCCTAAACTGTTGTGTCAATTTAGTCTGAGGTTATTAAAATGGGCTGAGAAATCAGATCTAGCGTTTATTTAGCGAATAAAAAGTCTTGTCCATGATACTCACTGGATATGAATGATGACAATCATAGATTAATCAGTTGTTATATGTTAGGATATTCATCCAATATCCTTAGAGAATTATTGGTCAAGTCCTATTGGTTGATTCCTACTGGTCAATTTTATGATCGTTCTAGATATCAATGTCACGTTCTGCAATGTTGTTTCTTATTGGTCATCCTGAATTTCAATGTCACTTCAAATGTTGTTTCTTATTGGTCATCTTAACTGTCAATATCACAGATTTCGATGCTGTTTCCTATTCAACCTACATGTAGAAATACGCATTATCTGTAACGTTCTGTGAGCCGGACTCGACCCAGATCCCTAGCACGGGATCCTGAGAATCTTCTGGACTCGGACTACACACTTTCTGGATGCTTGTAGAATACAGGTTCTACTTCATATCAAGTCTTCTTGTTTTTATTCAATGGCGGGGACACTCGGATTGAGTAGCATGTCGTGTCACCGGATCCTCGATCCTAGTTCTCGTTTTCCGACTAAGGAAAACTCGTAATAGTTCAAGTATATCAAAACGACGTGTTTACGTGCAGGTGTAACAATGTTATAACTCCATAATCATGTCGTCTAAGTTCCAGCATTGGATTTTGACTCCACTATTGTCGATTCAAATCCCATGGTGGTAGAGGTAGTAAAAATATGAACAGTAATCGGAAAGATTAGGGTTTGAAGATATTATTCAAGAAGTATAATAGAGGGAAGTAAATTTGAGAAGAGAAAAATGAAGGTCATGAAGAATTCAGTAGGTAAGAATTTGAGAAAACACAATGAATGGATGCACCTGTGTCATTGCAAACGACTTTGAGCCATGTCATTCAAGGTCTCTTTCCACCGATTACTATCATCTCGCTGACTCCAATCAGGTTGTCTACATCGACCAACATGACTCAGTCCACTTGTCAGTGACTTCATGCATTTCTGCCATATTTTGGTTTTATCCGCTCCTAACTTTTTCTTACAACCGACCCCAACATCCCAAAAACACAAGAATAAACAGAAAATCAACTCACTATCATCCTAGTTTGTTCTTCTTTACAACGATGATGATGAGAATTGTTTTTGCTCTTTTCAGGTAAAACAACAATTTGTTGTTTCGACGATGATGTTAAATTTACCATTGGTACATTCGATGCACAAATGGTTGACTCATCGTCATGATGATTGACCAAATGATTGACACTTTTATTGATTAACGATATTGATTCATTGGTTGTAGTAGACTCAGAGTTATAGGCATTATAATTATGATGATGATTATGATTATGATTTTGGACAAGTTTATTTTGATTCGATTGAGCATAAAGCGATTTTGTATTCGTTTTTGGTGGAGTGTTGTTGAAATTCTCGTGAATTATTGATTTCATTGGTGATATGTTTGTCTTGATCGGTATAGTATCTCCATCATAATTATTCATAGTTGTTTTATGCCACCAATTGGGTTGAGGATCTTTCCCACTTACTAGAAATGTATTCAATTCATCTAAGATTGTTTTCAATTCTTTCACATCAGGTATTCGCTTCTAAAAAAAAAACCAAAGAAAATTTCATGCAATGATGTAAGTGAAATTAACAACAGGGATCATACGTTGTAAGTACGTATTGTTTGTAGACAAGTGTCAACTAGCATGAAACCAAAGTCGATAGAATTCGAATTGATTATGTCTTCAAATACACAGAATCATTATATTTGAATAAATCAAAAATCTAGGTACAAATTTATGTTCTTTCATGTGAGGTGGATGTGTTATCTGAAGTGTACTGACCGCTTAACTTTATCTTGATTCATGATTTCTGAAATAAACAATAACCTCTATAACTCCATAATGAAAAACCGCACAATGTGCTCATTAGTGACTAGCTTCACGAGGAAATTCTCGTAGTTCTAGTGAGAATTTGTAACCAGTGGAGTTCAACCCTGTCAGGTGTAAGCAGTAACTACCAAAGACAAGTGGATAAAGTTGCTCAAAATGCCTAGATTGATCAAAGTTAGATATTAACACCGTTAGATGGGCCCGGGCCAATCGGTCCAGAGGTGCGCAATGTCGAAGGCGTTCAGTTCAAATCCTGCTAGTAGAAGCAGTGGTGGATGCGCACTGCCAATGATGAGTCTCAGTTCATCCAGCTTTTTAATGATCGTAGTCTAACAATGATTGATTCATTCATGATTTCAGTAATTAATAAATCGTAGACAGAGAGAGAGAAAGAGGGAAGAAGAAAAACGATCAAACTAGTGTAACTGATATTTTGCACGGGGTTGTGAAGATTGTTAGGTTTTTTCGAAACCATGAATCGATCAATGTTAGACCATCATTAGAAACCTGGAAGTACTGGACGGCCGTTTCGTCCTGGTATGGGACTCCTCAGCAATGCGCATCCACGACTCCTGAGGAGTCCCATACCAGGACGAAACTGCCGTTCAGTGATTCCAGGTTTCTAATGGTGGTGGTCTAACATTGATCGATTCATGGTTTCAAAAGAAAAAATAACTAATATTTTGACAAAAATTACTAAATAACAAGAATATCATCGTCATCATCATCACTTGAACATTCAGCAACACAAAAAAGAGAACAAAAAAACTTACATCTTCAGGAACTTTGTCAATTGCCTCAGTTAATTGAAGATGACACAAAGCTAAACACAACGGTAAATCTACATGATCTTTTATGTTGCCTACATGTCCATTCTGATTGATTGTTGGTAGTGGGGGTAGACAAATTGAATTGCTCAATAATAATGATGATGATGATAATGGAGTTGTTGTATTCGGGCACTTTTGTAATTTTGTATTGTCTGTTACACTTGATTTAGAATCATTCTGTTTAACCAAAAAAAAAAAAAATAAAATGATGCGTTTATGAATTCAATGTGTAAAAAACAACGATGTCCATAATACTATATAATGAAAAATTGTACAATGTGTTGAGTACTGACTAGTTTCATGAGGAAATTCTTGGGGTTCTGTTTAGAAGACGTAACCAGTGGAGTTCAGTCTTATTGGGTGTAGGCAGCAACTACCAAGGACGATGAGTGGGGTTGGGGGAAATCCTTAGTTTGCTTAGAGTTAGACACTAGCACCATAAAATGCTGGCCCACTGGTCTAGGGGTTTAAGCATCTGCGTGTGAGATCGGTTATGGGTTCGAATTTTATGAATATCAGGAGTCGTGAATGTGCATTAGCACTGATGAGTCCCATCCCAGGACGAAACGGCCATCATTAAGTGCAGTGACACTGATTTATTCATGATTTCAGCATGTTAAAAATGAAATATATTTACGAGAACAAAAACAAAGATTTGTACAGGATAACATGAATTCATTTTCACTCTGTTTGGTTCTCGATAGCTACTTACAAAGTCTCATTGTTGGAGATGTTAGATCACCAGAACTCACTTAGATAAGCTCCCAATTTTGTAATTTTATTCTGAAATTTTGAATTTCTACGTTTTAGCTCCAGGCAGACAGACAGACAGGTACAACGCAGAACTTCATACGTAAGTACATCAGTTCAGGTTGCCATAACACATCAGCACACAGACGCAACTGTCAGTTCAAATCCAACAGTGATAGCAATAATAGAAGTATTAGCAGTAATCGACAAGATTAGGGAGCGAAGATATGATGCGAAAAGTATGATTCAGTAAGATAAATTTAGAAGGAGTAAGGTAGAGATTATGATGAATCCAGAAGATTAGGATTTGAGAGAACACAAAGAATGGGTGCACCTGTGCCATCGCAAACGATTCTGAGCCATGTCATTCAGAGTATCTAACCATCTGTGAGTTTCGTCTCGCGGACCCCAACCTGGAAGACTACATCTATCAACATGACTCAGTCCACTAGTCAGTGACTTCATGGATTTCTACCATGTTTTGTTTTGGCTGACCCTAACTGTCTTCCAATCTACTCCTACACTACAAAACACAGCTCGTCGCGGCAGTCGGTGGTTCGGCGTACGTAACTCATGTCCCAACCACCTCAACTGATGTAGTTTCACTACTTCATCTATTGATTAGCTCCAGGCGTGCCAAGTTGACCTTTAACTTAAATTTCTCACTCGGAATATCCTTCACTGTCATTGGTTAATGAATTATTTTAGTACGCTATTTTGTGTCTCTCCCAAGGACATTTCTACCATGTATAAATAAGCTCGATTTGTGTGCTTGTCAACCTCGTATTTTCTGAGTTCTTTTAGAATACACTTTCTACATCACATCAAGACTTTTTGATATAGTTAGCCAGGCCGGGGACAAATAGATTAGAATAGCCCATCGTGTCACTGTATCATTGCTTTCGTTTCCGTTTACTGAGTAAGGTGAACTCGTAACAGTTTCAAGCATATCAGTCATATTCAATTGACATAGATAACAGGAAAAAAATTACGAAATGAGTAAACACTGATAAAAAGTAAGAGCATAATGGATAAAGCTCAGTTAGCAGTTGTAGTTCTAGAACGGCTCCAGGTAGAGCGCTTTCTAACATTTATATATATGTATATACCGAGAAGCTAGGCCAGTCTTATGAATTGATCGACCTCGGTTACGTAGTTCTACTGCACTATATGTTTGTGTTAAGACAAGTAATACTACATAGTTAGTTGATCAGATCGAAATCGATAGACTAGAGATTGAAAATATGATTGGACAGGTGACTTTTAATAAACTTGCCATATATTTGTTAGGTAAAAAATATACTACCCTAAAGCATTTAAGTAGTATAATTTATTCGTCCTAATTAACTGAATACACTATACATAGCAGGCCGCCAGCACTGATTAGACTCACAAGATGATAAGTGAAGCTGTCGACATGCTCAACTAATTCACTCTCAGTCATTAGTTCAGGTGCCAATACAAACTAATCCTGAAGCAGTTGTTTTCCATTTCAACTGAAAGAATCTCATTCCGAACATGCTTCCAGTGTTGTTTCAGTTGATCGTCAGAATACTCTGCATTTGGTTAGCATCCTTGCGAGAAGGCAGAATCACTTCAGATGCTGGTTGTCCGGGGGAAACACTTCACTGCTGTCACACCCCTCTGAAGTCAGTAGTACGACTTCGCTCTCAGACCTTGAGTAGCTGTTTTTAGTCTCATCGTTCTCCAATCGACCTGTCTGGCATGGTAGAACCTTGAGGAACGTATGTTCCAGCCAGTATAGCTCGGTTGGGTCTTCACGATAGGCAAGCCTGATCACCACGTCAAGGTAGCAGCTTCGGTTGGGATATTCTAAGTCAACAAACAGTTGAATCTCCGGTATATATTTAAATCCAAAAAAAAGTTTTAAATGAAACAATCATCAACTTACTAATTGACTTGTTAACATTAATTCAGTATTATGAAAATCTGTTGAATAATTTGTGAAATCATATTTTTTATTACTAGTAGATTTATCCATTTCATTGAAATTTACAAATCCACCATGATGTGATTGACTATTATTCAAATGATGTTTTCTATTCTCCATTGAATTCTTTCTATCCTTTTTAGTTGGTTTTAAGCAAGCATTCTCATCTGTACCAATGATATGTAATGAATGTGGCATAGAATTATTATTATTATTATTACTACTATCATTGTTATTCATATGAGTAGTATAATGTATGTTGGATAAAGAATTGATCGGTTTTAAAATTGTACTACAACTACTACTGTTATTATTGTTACTATTAGTTAATAAGGCTGGCTTTCTGTGTGGAATTGAAATCGATTGTAGAAATTGTCGCATTGCTGGCAATTGATCTGTAACAAATTGGTTCATAAATTTCATATAAGTTTCTTTTGAACCAGTGAATAAATTGAAATTAGCTAAAGTTTGAATTGTTTTCGCAACCTACATTGAATGAAAACAGAAGAAGAGAAAAAACCAATCAATCAATGCGTTAAAACAAACAACTGGAAACAATTTAAAACAATCAAGTTATAAGTTGTGAAACACTTTTGACATTCACAAAACAAAACTACTTGGAGTCAACCAACACCAAAAGTCAGAATGTTCAATTTAAATGTCTAGACCGTTCTACTGTATGAAGAGGAAACTTGGTGGAGAAAGTTTCTAGCTGTTAGGATATTCATCCAATATCCTAAGAGAATTACTGGTCGATTCCTATTGGTTAATTCCTACTGGTCAGTTTTATGGTCGTCCTAGTAGATATAATTGTCACGTGCTCCAATGTTGTTTCTGATTGGTTGTCCTGACTATCAATGTCACTTCAAATGTTACTTCCTATTGGTTGTCTTAACTGTCAATGTCACAGGATTCGACGCTGTTTCCTATTCAACCTAACTGTATAAATACGCATTATCTGTAACGTTTTATGATCAGGACCAGGACCAGGACCCGGTCCCGGATCCAGATCCCTAGTCCGGGATTCTGATTCTCTTCTGGATTCGGACCTCGTACTTTCTTAATGCTTGTAGGATATAGGTTCTACTTCATATCAAGTTTTCGTATTTTTACTCAATATGGGGGTTGGGATAATCGGACTTGAGTAGCATGTCGTGTCGCCGGATCCTCGCTCTCGTTTTCCGACTAGGTAAACTCATAATAGTTCAAGCATATCAAAATGACGTTGTTTACGTGCAGGCGCGACAACAGCTCAGGTGGATGATCCTTGTGGTGGAGTTTCGTTTCTCTGAGATGGATGTTTTGGCTTTGTGAAGCTTTCCATGTTCGTCTGGAAAATATCATTAGAAGTGAAGAATTGCAGTAGAACAGTAAAAGCTCCACAACAAAAACATCTAGGTCAGAGAAACGAAGCTTCATCACAAAAGCCATTATCCAAAAGATACAGATGTTTTATTAATAGCTGTAGTGAAATATTCCATCTCAAGTTTGTGCTGATCATGTTGTTCAGAAGAGCAATGAAAGCTCCACAAAGCCAAAACATCCAGCTTAGAGAAAGAAACGCCACCACGCTAATAGCAGATTTCGTCTGCTCAAATGATCGGCAGAACTAAGTAGGTTTGCGCTCCCATGCTCTCGACAGTTTCGCATAGGGAACTAGTATGGTGAATACAACTCATAGCGTAGCTTATAAGAAGTACGTAGAGAAATGTCACCTGGAGGTCATTACCAAAGAGAGGATAGATAAATTCTATCTAGTCTTGACTTCTTTGTAGGTTACAACATCATGTACTCGTTCTTAAGAACAGAGTTCATTCTGAGAGATAAACAGACAATTATTGATTAGCTTACATAACAATTCAAAGCTTAATTGAACTTTTGCCCCGGTTTTGTTTCATTTATTGAATAAATTACGCACACACATTTATATACATATATACATACATCATATTCCAATGTATGCTACTTACCAAAGTGAATGCACGTAATACACGTGGTTCACTAGGAAATTCATGTGTCAAATTAAACAATGAAGGAGACAATATAGCTGGACATATATAACGTAGAAATAAACAAGCTGAAATCACATGTTCACATAATGTACCACTAGTGGCACCGCCCGTGGCGCCACCATTGATTGCTGAATTCATTGACCCATTCAAACCACCATCATAATGATACTGATTATTATTATTACTGTTATTATTATTATTAAGATTATTGACTGATGAATAATGACTGTTTGAACCAGTTGTCTCCAAATATCGTCTAATTTCAACAAATAAAGCACGGAATTGTCTGTTGTGTCGGAATCAAAAGAAAGAACATAAGTGAAAAAAGACATGTAGAGTAATGATATAAAGTCATTCACTAGATAAACAAAGAAATAGATGTTTCACTTAGTCGATTAGTGTGCCAAACAGACATGTTCACTATTGACTACCTACATGAAGAGATTCCACAGAGTTCCACAGTGAGAAGATGTGACCAATGGAGGTTACTAGTAATCGATCATAGATGTCTTAGAAGCATTGCTCGTATATCGTGGGAAAACCGAGTAAGCAATGCTGTTGTTAGGAAACGAGTACTAGGCAAGGATGGCAGATCAATAGATGAAGTGCTGAAACTTCATCAGTTGAGGTGGTTGGGACATGTGTTACGAATGTCCGACCACTGACTGCCTCGACGAGCAAATTTTTGTGGTGCAGGAGTAGGTTGAAAGAAAGCTAGAGGTGGCCAAACCAAAACATGACAGAAATCTATGAAGTCACTGACAAATGGACTGAGTCATGATAGTAGATGTAGGCTATCTGGTTGGGGTCAGCGAGATAAAAGTCACCAATGGTTAAAGACCTTGAACGACATGGCTCAGAATCGTTTGCAATGACGCAAGTGCATCCATTCGTTGTGCTCTTTCAAATCCTAATCTTCTGGATTTGTCAGCACCTCTACCTTTGTCTTTCTAACCTTATCTCACTGAATTATACTTCTTGAATAATATCTTGAAACCCTATTCTTCTTCATTACCATTAATACCTCTACTATCTTTATCACTACGGGATTTGATTTGACATTTACGTCTGTGTGCTAATGTGGTATGGCAACTTGAACTGATGTACATACGTACGAAGTTCTACGTTGTAACTGACTGACTGACTCACTGGTCTACAGGTTAAGCGCTCGTGCGTGAGGTCGAAGTTCCTGTGTTCGATCCCTACGAGTAGCGGGCAAAGTGGATGCTCACTGGAGAGTCCTATACTAGGGCTAGAATGATCGTCTTTCAGTGCTTCTAAGTTTCTAATGATAACCTAACAATAGCTAATTTACCATTCCAATCTAAAACTACAATCTCCGTAATACTATCATGCAAAATAATATACCTTCAGATGAGATTGAATAAATCAATTTTCGCACCCTCACATCTAACACTTTCATACAATAATAATAATATAAATACCATTAATCTGGGGACATATCAACCATTTTTCAAGTTCGAGACAATGTTAGTAATCAATGAAACATTAGACCAGGCCAAATGTAGTGTGTCAACAATCAGTTGACACTTTTTTCAGCTTTGGACAAAATATCGTACGCCGCAAGGATTCGAGATGTAATTTAATTGGCTATCAAATAGAATGGAAGGTTCCTACTTCATTGAAATTATGCACTGATCAATGATAGACCTTATCCTAGTGCAGGACTCATCCACGACCCTTTCAAAAGGAAATGAAACTCAGGACCTTCAGTCTTGCACATAAACGCTTAACCTTTAGACCACTGTGTCAGGACTCAGTGGTTTTAATGTCCAATTTCTGTCAATCCACGATATTGTGAGACCACCATCTATTACCATTGGCGACACGGATGGACTTCACTGGTCGTAACTTCTTACTAGAACTCTTTCCAGTGCTTCCCGACTTCTATTGGTTGTCTAACATTGATCAGCGCATGATCGTAACCAGCTGTCAGAGACTTTGAATAATATGATTCAAAATCGTTTGTTATGGCACAGATATAATCCTATTCTCTGTCTTCGAATAAATTCTAAGTTTCAGAATTCCTCAAGACATTTTTGTGGAATATACTTCACGAATCATATCTTCAAACCCTCATTTGTTTTCCATTACTACGAGCACTCTTACAGTCTCTACAACTCTAGGATTTGACGTGACAATTTCATCTGTCCTTGTGCAGATATGTGAAATATGGCAACATGAACTGATACGCATACATACGTATCAAAATCTAACTGACTGAAACATAAAAAATAGATCCTAAACAGAAAAAATTAACAATACTTGTTTATGAATGTAATCACGAATCAATGATTGTATGACCATCTTATTAAAAAACCCGGAAGCGCTGAAAGACAGTCGTTTCGTCCTGGTATGGCATTCATCACTGGCAGTGCGCATCCACGACTCCTACTACTACTCACAGAGTCCGGAAACAAGAATTTCTAGTAAAGCCGGAGTACAAATGGGTGCTGGTCCAGAAGTTAGGCGTTTGTACACAAGGCCGAGAGACCTGCGTCAGAATCCTGTTAGTTGAGACAGTCATGAATGCGTGCTGAGAAATGTGAATCCCCTACCAGGACGAAACTGCCAAGTTTCAGTGCTTCCAGGTATCTAATAGTGGTCTAACTATTGGGTTCTTCACTAAGTATGCTTGAGGCTATTACGAGTTCACCTTAGTCGATAAACGCGAACGAGAAAATGAACCAGCGTCCAGATAGGCTACCTTGAATCCCAAGTTGAAGAAAGAAGGCTTTGTAAACGTACAAAGTATATTTTTACAAACACCCAGCAATCACAGTACAATCAAGCATACAAATCTCGTTTATTTCTACATCATAGAAACGTCCTTGGGACAGTTACGAAAATAGCACACTAAAATACACAACCATGGATTTTCCTGGTTGGAATTGAAATCTCAAGCTCAACTGATCAGCCCATGCTGGCAAACGTGAAAACCAAAATAAGGCATTTATCAAGCGAATTTCGGCGATCTAACATTCCCAACACTAACAATCTGATTGATTCATAATTTCAGTAGTACATTAAATTTATTTCAAAATAAAATAAAAATAAAAAAAGAAACAACTTACTCAGGAAATTCCATTTCACTCAATAAAATTCTTTTCCATACTAGCTCCACCAAACTAAGTAGATTCACTTGATTTTGTGTTAATTGTGTTGAATTTTGTACTTTACTAATGTCTACTTCATAATCAATTGGATAACGATTGGTAGTTTTTAGTTGGGAATCAATTGTGGAACCATGTAGGACAATTTGTATGAAATCCGATAGAATATTTGATAAATATGTTCCACCAACAAGACGTAAATAAATTTCAGTGGCTTTTGTTGCTATACTATTAGCACGTAATACCATATTTGGATCAGCTTGATGATGATGAGGATTAGGATTTGGAAGAAAAGACAAAAAAGAGGAGATTAAGGGTATTACATAATGAAGCAGTGATAGCATTGTAGAATAATTATTTTTAGAAAAAAACCTATAAATTAAAGAAACTCCTGTAGGAGCCCCTCTGGGGCTACTGCCGGTTTCAAGCCCAGATAAAGGAGGAGGGTTGAGCAGAGAAAGCCAAGGCATTAGCTGAATAAACAGAAGCAAACAAGTAAGCGAAGAGGAGTATCAAGGGCGACAAACGTAAATACGTGGAAGATCTAGCGATGACTGCGGAAAAGGCTGCAAGAGAAGGGAATATGAGCAACTTGTATGATACAGCAAAGAAGCTTTGCTGGAAACTGTCGTACACCGGAACGACCAGTGAAAAGTTAGGAAGGTAAAGCGATCACCAACATTGAAGAACAGCGAAACAGGTGAGTAGAGCACTTCGAAGAACTCTTGAGTCGACCAGCCTCAATGAACCCGTCCAACATTGAAGCAACACCTCTCAATCACTGCTGGCCCGCCAGTAAGTGAAGAGATTAGCATGGCTATCAGACAAATCAAAAGCAACAGTACCAGAAAACTTTCTAGCCAAGGTACTTATGTGGTGCTGTGTTGCGAACTACTTATAAGTAGTATATAGCGTGAGTGTCAACGTAAAGTCTGGTAGCATAATATGGGGGGAAGATCAAGAAAGGAAGAGTCAGAAAACAATGGAATTTGTATGAAACGCATGAAGAGTGACAATGGATTGGTGTTTGGCAACAGGAACAGTCCAGTTCCATGGGATGAACTGATCTTTTGCAAATGAACGATTTACGATATGGTTTTCCGATTTTACTGACTAACTCTGTAATTTTCGTTAAATACAATTCGGTTGCCCCCACCTGTGTTCTCATTCACTACACTTACAGCAGACACAGCATTAACTGCGAAGATACTCTAAATAATATTTAGCAAGATTTGTGATGAAGAACAAGTACCAACAGACTGGAAAAGGATATCCGATCTATCTATATATATATATATATCATCAAAATCTTTTTGAGATGGTAGCTAAGGTGGATGATAATAGTGAAGTGTCATTCTCCGAGATGGATGTTTTGGTTGTGAAGCTTTCATTGTTCCACTGAACAACGTCATCAGCACAAGCTTCAGATAGAAGTGAAATGGTTGAATCTCTTCACGTATGACTCGTTGCTTGCCCTCTTGACTTCTGTCTTGATTGGTTGTTATTGACCTTCAACCTGTCATTGCCTTCGCCTTTATCCTCCAATTAGGAAAATCATAAACTAACATAGGATCAACACAGGTCAAAGGGAGATACAACCCGAATAAAAGTGCAGACGAAGACAGGTCTATGGTCGATCACAGCCAATGATGATCGAGGTTACTAGAATAAGCTACAAGTCGTATGTGGAGAAATTCGAATATTTCACTTCTCTACCTGAAATCGGTGCTGATGGCGCTGTCCGTAAGGCAGACCAATTTGATCGCTCGTGCTGTTACGGGTATGAGGGCGGTTGTCACTTCCCGGCTGCCCACACAGTGGAAGGGTGTTTCTTGAGGGACCTAAAAAGGAACATAGATTAATGTTGGTCTTGGAGACCTGCCTGCTTGACCGCAGAGCCCAAGGGACAACAAACTGAGGCCGGTTATGCATGGCCTTTGAGTATTTTTTGAGTATTAGCTCCGCTCCTGAAAGCCCTTAGTGGGCACACTTACCGACGGAGACGGAAATCCGTGAGGTAGGGTGAGGTGTGACATTTTTAGGGTCGACCTTCTCTAACCCTTCCTACCTTCCTTGTGAGAAGGCAGCATCGCTGCAGATGCTGGTTGTCCGAGGAAAACATCTTACTGCTATCACACCCCTTCGTTACAGTCAGCAGTACGACTTCGCCCTCAGACCTTGAGTAGCTGCTTTTAGTCTCATCGTTCTCCAATCGACCTGCCTGGCATGGTAGAACCTTCAGGAACATAAGATCCAGCCAATATAGCTCGGTTCGGTCATCACGATAGGCAATCCTGACCACCACGTGTCAAGATGGCAGCTACGGTCAGGCTGTTCATAAGATAAATAATTAAAGCTCCACAATCAAAACATCCAGCTCACAGAACGAACACCTCCATTCAAATTGTCTTGTTTATTCTACATAACATCAATTCCTTATTACAATTTAATCACATATCAAAAGAGATCATCAATGTGTATCCATTGAAGAGTCTCCTATTAAGACGAAATGACTCTGTAGTACTTTTTGATCTAATTTCATGTGTATCATTAACGCTTTAGTTGTTTGCGTTTGTTTGTCTTTTTGGCGCACATTTACACAAAAGGTGTATCAATGTGTTCACATCATTGTTGAGAGTTTATACATAACCATAGATTCATATATCCGTTATATTGACACATAGATCAGCATGAACTATGAATCCGATTGAGGTTCAATCAATAAAACTTTGATTTATAATTTTTTTTTCACTCTTTCGTTTGTTTATCAATGCAATCAGTTTTTTAAAAAAAAATTTAAAAATCTTCATTCGATCACTTATTTCACCTTAGTTATATGGTTGACATTTTTTATTGATTGTGTTTTAGGACGAATGAAATTTTGTGTTTTACAAAAAGATATCGATATAGATATTGATGAGTGAGCATACTGCGGGTTTAGGTAGATGAGATTGTTCATTGACTGACTGTGTACCAAATGCCATACAATGTTTTCCATCAATTGAACCAAGTTATGTAACATTCAGTCTACCGCAATCCATGAAGTCACTGACAAGTGGACTGAGTCATGTTGGTAGATATAGGCTACCTGGTTGGGGTCCGCGACATGAAAGTCATCAATGGTTAGAGACCTTGAACGACATGGCTCAGAATCATTCACAATGGCTCAGGTTCATCCAGTCTTTGTGCGCTTTTTAGTTCTAACCTTTTGAATTCCTCATCATCTCTATCTTTCTCTTTCTAAATTTATCTCACTGAATTATACTTATCGAATCATATCTTCGCTCCCTAATCTTCTCCATTACTGCTAATACTTCTTCTACTATCACTATCATTCTTGGATTTGAACTGACATTTACGTTTGTGTGCTGGTATGGTATGGCGACCTGAACTGATGTACTTACGTACGAAGTTCTGCGTTGTATCTGTCTGTCTGTCTGCAATCATAATTCAGCAGTACTCGATAGATAGACTAAACATTACAAAAGTAGGATTTTCATTAGTTAGTACCTATTTGTAGACAAATGATTCAAACCAAGTATTGTGCTCTTTTTTTTGAAGTTATCGATCGATAAATTTTTTTATTAGAACTGATGACTACGGTATGAAATTGTCAGTTATTTAATGATACATTTTCTTCGTGAAATTCGTTCAGAAATCACGAATCACTCAATGTTCGACCGTAATTAAGAACCAGCAATGTGCATTCATGACTCCCTCAACTTGCAGGAATCGAACCCAAGACTTTCGGTCTTGCGTGCGAACGCCTAACCTCTGGACCACTGGTTTGGCATACAACGGTGTTCATGTTTAATTCTGATCAATCTAGGGATTTCGTGCAACCTCACTCATTTGTCTTCGACAGTTACTGGACTCCACTGGTCACGTAAGCACGTAAGGTAGAGGTGCTGACGAATCCAGAAGATTAGGATTTGAGAGAACACAAAGAATAAATGCACCGGCGCCATATCAAGCGACTTTTAGCCATGTCATTCAGGGTCTCTAACCATCGATTACTACCATCTCGCGGACCCCAACCAGGTAGCCTACATCTACCAACATGACTCAGTCCACTTGTCAGTTACTTCATGGATTTGTGCCATGTTTTGGTCTGGCAGCCCCTAACTTTCTTCCAACCTATTCCTACACCGCAAAACATTAGCTCGACCAGGCAGTCGGTAGTTAGGCATACGCAACACATGTCCTAACCAGCTCAACTGATGACCTTTCAATAATTCATGACGTAAGGTAACAGTTGTAAGGAGAAAAGACACAAGAAACTAAGATCTTGTCACCGAAATTATGATCATTATCAAATCCAATAAACACTTACTTTGTTTTTTCACTTCACACAGAATAAGACTAGCCAAAAATTCTGTGACTTGTCCATGCGCTTGTTGTAATACAACAATAGCACCGGCTAATTCAGCTTTTGCTTTGACATTTAACCATGGATCTAAACTGGCTAATAATTGAATGAGATCTGATTTATTACTGCCTATAGACAATTGAGAAATGGAATCGAATTTCCCATGATTTAATCTATTCTCTGTACCATCATTGGCCATTGACTTGGGCAACTGGAATTGGCATAGATTAGCTTCCAGACGTGTATAACTAGTCAATGGTAAAACAGTAAGAGTACGATAACGAATTTTCACACGAATTTGTATAGAGTTCACATTGTTATCACGACGATTTGAATGTCGTCCTTTGGATTTAGGTTTATTGACATTTGATGATTCATTGGGGTTTTTAGCCGACTCGGTTTGTTTTAATTGATCCGGTGATGAGGATGATGTTATTGATTGTGTTGAATCAGTTGAAATTGGTGTATACCAACTTTCCACTTCACCGGCATTAGAAAGATCCGTCAGAGAAATATTGACAGTGGCTGAAATGATCATTAGAAATATAAATGTTAGTTTATTCATAAAAGTATATCAATACATCATATTCATTGATGTTAAGAAGCAGCTCTTCTCAACTCAGTCAGTGTGCTTTTGAGATGGTGGAGAAAATTTCTAGCTTAGGTAGATGATGACTGTGACGGAGTAGCGTTCTGTGATCTGGATGTTTTGGTTGTAGAGCTTTCATTATTGTTCTACTGCTGGACGACATCCTTAACACAAACTTCAGATAGAAGAGGTGAAGTATTCAACCAATCAGAAAAATCATAGGCGAACATATGATCCAGAAATAGATCAAAGGGCATGCAGTCAAGATAAAGGTGCAAACAACGACAGGTTTAACGAGAACAACAATCACGAATACTTCACATCCATCTGAAGTTTTATTGGTGATGATGTTGTTCAGTGGTACAATGAAAGCTACACAACCAAAATATTCAGTTCAGAGAACGAAACTCCACAAAAATCAGCCAGCGCTTCAACAGAACTATTCTTATACAAACACATACTTTCAATGGAATTTAACCCTGACCGACATATTAAAACAATTGTATTCAAAGTCTATTATAATATATGGTGTCCGGGGTTCTAAACATGATACCCAACTCAAACTGGCAAACATGGAAGATTAATTCTATTTGGCTACCGAATCATATATATATATATATATATATATATATATATATATATATATATATATTCGTCGACCTTAGAAAATCAATCGATTTCTTGACCAATGATAGGCATTCGTCTAATAGGATATGTAAAACTGTCATCAAGTGACCTTCTTGTCCGGTGATTTTTGATTGTCTCTCTATTTTATTGATAAAGTAACCATATCTTAGTCTTCCTCATTTAATATTTTCTTTCGTTGTAAATGTACATAAAAACCTTACAGACCAATTTCTACTTTGCCTTATAGGGTTGAAAACATCAATCGATCAGTGTTAGACAACAATTCGAAACCTGAAAGCATTGGATGCCGTTTCGTCTTAGTATGGGACTCATCATCAATGAGCATCCACGACCACCGCACACTGAAAATTGATAAGATACCTTTTGACAAGTGTATAAATGTGTGACCAGTTTGTTCGAAATGTATAGCGCAAATATATCACATTTTTCAGATCAATTACGTCTTCTCTTTGTTCTCGCAAAATATATAAAAGGGACTAATTGTTTTAAATTTCAGAAAAACAACTGTCATGAAGAATTCAGAAGATTAGAATTTGAGAGAATTTAAAGAGTGGGTGCACCTGCCTCATTGCAACCAATGTTGAGTAGTGTCATTCACAGTCTCTAACTATCGGTTACGATTGTCTCGTGGACCCTAACCAAGTAGTCTACACCTACCAACATGACTCAGTCTACTTATCAGTGAGTGTGATCGCTAACAAGTTCTGTCATCAGTCTGAATAATATTAATCCATTTCTCGCCTTAAACAAATAAATGCCACATCATGTTAGTCATAATAAAATTCACATGAATTTGACAATTCCTAAATAAAATATTCAACTAATCGATAGCAGAGAAAAAAGAGCGCATCAATCAAGAAAAAAAAAGTGAGAAACTCACCGACAAGAGATGGACTAACCGATTTGGATGATTTAAATTTGCGACGTTTTTGTCTTGACCCAACTGTATCATCATTACTGGCGCATGTCATGGATAAATCATCCAATATGACTGAATTACGTAAAGCAGTAAAATCTGGCGGTGAAACGGAACCATCATTTGCAGCTTTTGTACAAGTCATCATAACTTTACACATTGGTAAAGGACTTGTATTGGTTGTTTGTTGATGTTGACGATGCGATGATGGTGTGGAACGATGTGATGAAGTAGTTCGATGACGATGTGATGGAGATCTTGATTTACTGTCACATACTTTCCATATTTCAATAGTTAAATCTGAACAGTTTGCGAGACCACTATGAAGAAATAAATGGACATCAACAAGATATGAGGAATTATAAGAATGACAATTCAAACATTCAGTACAAACGATTAATCTCCATGGCTGATTTAATGGAGTAAGTCTACTGTAGACTTCTTAGTTACATTTTCTATCTATGACATGAATTTCAATATTGTGATGTTGTCTAATCTCATTGTGAACTTGTTAGCAAGACAACAGGTTATATATAGTTTATATGAATGATGGAATCTAAGGTGCGCATTTCATCCCACTAGGGAACTCATCAGATGGATGTAATTGCAGTTCAGAGTTGATGTTCACCACAAAACTCGAATCCATTAACGTATGCATCAAACGTCTTAGTGTTACTTTGTAGTGGCACCACATATATTCCAGTTCGCTTACATTTAATTTGGTTAAGCCCTTTCAATTAATTAATTTAACCAAGCCATTTGCGCAGCAACAACTTATATGTACCTTTCGCTCTTACTATTGTCTGGTTTGCATAAGCTCACATGACTTATCTCGCTTGTTTTTGACCTTGTCACTGAGTCGTGGCTTTTATTCATGTACGTGACTATATATTCTTATTCATGCTCTATTTCTTTGAGTTGGCTCACTAGCCGTCTCCAACGCGCTTCGCCTATTCATTCGCTTCTTTTGCCCATTCGTTCGCATTGTAATCCAGGAGTTGGCTAGCTAGCCTTTTCCAATTCAAGTCTCTTCTTTCGTGTTATTCGCTGCTTCTCCGATTCGCTTTTTGGTCTGTCCCAAATAAACGTATTCATCACTACGAGTTCACCTTCTGATTTATAACCGTCAGACGCCATTTAGTAACGATTGTCTAGACCAGCTAAATTACGAAGCTTAGGAACACGCGGATATCGGCCACCACAACTTACTCAGCTACTGAATTGAAATGGCTTCTGGATTGCGCGATAAGGTGAAGTGAATGTCAAGCCTAATATGCAGGTACATCCAACTGGCAAGTCCCAAGTGGAACGAAACATGCACCCTGAATTCGTCTGCTAATCACCATCCATTCATGTTAATGACTAAAGGGCAATATCGAGGCAGTGGACACAAAATGGACATATTGCCAAATCACACTGCTCAATCACAGTCCTAAACATAGATGGGAAAATTCGAACAGCCAATACAAATGAGTTTATCGAATAATCATTGATTGTTGATTCTTGGTCTCTCCCGTAAATGCTCAACCTCTTGACCGCCGAAGTTATTGTCTAACTCCAATCAGTCCACACTATTGTACACCATCATTCATTTTCTTCGGTGAATAGCCACCTCACACTCGACATGGTAGAACTTCACTGGCCATAGCTTGTTACCAGAACTCCGAAAATTTAGTCACGAAGCTAGTCACTGGTGGGCTAATGATGATAAGGGTTATAGAGGTTTTTGAGTTTCAACAAACTATGCATTCTGACGCCAAACCGTAGGTCACGGATTTAATTCCAACTCTCATGATCGTGGATGCAAACTTTCCATGAGTCCCATATTAGGACGGGACTGCAGTCCAGTGCTTCCAGGCTTCATGGTTTCAATGAATTTCACATAATCTCCACAAATCTGTACTAAAAATTCGAAATTAGCGCTTTCTATAAAACAACCAATAACCTCAGCAACACTTTAGTTAGAATCAAGGACAATACCCCATTAATACCTACACACAAAACCAAGTCTACAAACCAAGTTGTGTCAAATAAGATGTGTTCTATATTGGACAGTCATCTCGTGAAATCTTACTTCGTGCTAAAGAACACACCTCAGCTATACGAAAACACTTCCTAATAATAATCCTTGTAGAACCGGAAAATTTTCGAATGCTATTTTCAAATCAACATCAAATTGATATTGAAAAAAATATCAAAATATCTTCTAGCAAGATTTTTTTACAAAAAGAGAGATGAGCAGTTGAACCGTTTCTCATAATGTTAAATCACAATTCAGTATCTACATATTTCTACGCGCGCGCACACACATGCACACACACAGGCACACAGTTTCAATTGTTTTCAACAGTGTTAGTTACTTTACATCACAAATTACATATTTTCACTTACCCATCATCACCACATCATACACACACACTAAAATGAGCATTTAAAAGTCTCCTCATACAGAATAAAAAAATGACATGACAGTGACATACATATTCAGACTTAATAGAATTTTGATTGAACTACATAAATTCTCATTTGTGTTCATGATTTATCTCGATTAGTTTTATTGATTTACTTTGAAAAAGAAGAAGTGTCTTGTTTTAAGTTTGGAAAAAATGTCAAAAATATAAATCTGTATCCAGTTTGAGATATCATTTACAAAAAAATTTTATAGTTATTTTCATTGTGCTTTTGGATTTTATGTTTTAACGCAGGGGTTGATCGGTTGACCTTGAGGTTATATTTACCGCTCGGAAATGTCCTTGACTGTTATTTGGTTGATGGATTATTTTAGTAGGCTATTTTTGTGGCTCTCCCAAGGACGTTTCTATCATTGCATAAATAAACTCGATTCGTGAGCTTGTGGAACTCGTATTTTCCAGGTGCTTGTAGAATACACTATCTAAATCTCGTCAAGACTTCTTCCTCAACTTAGTGAGGCGTTGGGACGCTCGGATTAGAGTAGTCTGCCATGTCACTGGATAATTTGTCTTCGCTCTCGTTTACCGACTAAGGTAAACTCGTAATAGCATTCAAGCAAATCGATTGAGGAGCATAAACACGTAAACACGTCAACTTGATATACTTGGACTATTACGAGTTTAACTAGTCGGAAAACGAGAGCGAGGATAGAGGATCCGGTGACACGACATGCTACTCAAATCCGATTATCCCAACCTCCATATTGAGTAAAAAAAAAGAAGACTTGAATGTGAAGTAGAACCTGTATTCTACAAGCATCCAGGAAGTACGAGGTCCGAATCCAGAAGAGAAACAGGACCCCGGACCGGGTCCTGGTCCTGGTCATAAAACGTTACACATAATGCGTATTTATACATTTTGGTCGAATAGGAAACAGCATCGAATTCTGTGACATTGACAGTTAAGACGACCAATAGGAAGTAACATTTGAAGTGACATTGATAGTCAGGACAACCAATAAGAAACAACATTTGAAATGACATTGACAGTGCGGATGACCAATAATAGTATTTGAGTTTGGCAGTTAAAACGACCATAATTTTGACCAATAGAAATTGACCAATAGGATTTGACCAATAATTCTCTTAGGATAGTGGATGAATATCCTAACACGGCCATTGTTAGATCACCATTAGAAACCCGCGATCAGTGGTGGGCCGTTTCTTCGCTGATATGGGACTCATCGTGATTCATTATTTCAATCAAAATCAACTATCTTTACAACTGCATGATGGAAATCATAAAAATGTGCTCGCTTGTGACTACCTACCAACATGAAGAAATTCTCAGAGTTCTAGTGAGAAGCTATGATCAGCGGAGTTCAGTCCTGTTGGGTGTGAATCAGTAAGTACCAAAGACAATGGGTGAGGTTGTGCAAAATTACTTAGATTGATTAAAAGTAGACAATGAACACCGTCGGATGCTGGTTCGGTGGTCTAGAGGTTAAGCGACTGCGCGGAAGAACGAAGGTCCCGGGTTCAAATACTGAGAGTTGCATGAGTCGTTGATGAACATTACCAGTAAGTCCGATATGAGGACAAGTTAACTGTCGTTCACAGCTTCCCGGTTTCTAATGCTTGTCTAACATTGGTCGATTCATGATTTTAAATGAAAACCAACAATCTTAACAATCGTTTCATGAAAATTACAGTAATTTCATTGATTATCCCGTACATCCCACCCTAATGCTAAATTTATATTTAAAATTGTCAAGTCCAACTTTAGACAGAATAATTATCACAATCACTAGTTTATCAAACCAAAAAAACCGATCAATTGAATCAGTCCAGTAATAAAGTAATGTGTTCTCATGATGAAAACAGCATACTGACTGACTATAACAGATTCATTACTGAATGAGGTCAAATCTATGATCAAAACATTTTATAACATGTGAACATAAAACTATTATAAAATTAGAAACTCTATTTTACAAAAATCCGATTTTGACCAATTGATTTGATTTAAAATAATAATTGTCAAATAAATCACGAATCTGCTTTCTTTTTCTCTCTGAATTTTTGCTAAAACACTGTCTCTTCTTCAATCTGGACAGTATACGTAGTGTGATCTACATGTTTAGCAATGAAAAATTGTTCAAAGCCATGATTTGTAATTTTTTGTCAATCACCCTTGATTGAGAATCGTACTAATGGAGTACTAATGCAGTAGGTTGTTATTGAACATTGAAAATGATCAATATTTTGGTTCAAGGTTCAATGACAATCATGATCACGTTGTGAAACAACGTAAATTATATTCAGTTGATGAATTCCTAAATAGAAGTTAATTGTTTCAGTCGGATATGTAATGTAAGGATACTGGAATTGAAGATCGAGAGGAAGACAATGAGTGTAGTTGTATTGTGATGTTTGGTTCTCTGAGTTGGATGTTTTGGTTGTGGAGCTTTCATTGTTGTTCTCCCGAACAACAACATCATCAGCACAAACTTCAAATGGATGTGAAGCATTCGAATTTCTCCACCTTTGACCTGTAGCTTGTTCTGCTAACCAACCTCGATCTCGATTGTTTGCTGTTGACCTTAAACCGGTCGTTGTTTGCACCTTTGTTTTGATTGTATCCCCCCTTTTGATCTGTTTCTTGATCCTATGTTTGCCTATGATTTTCCTGATTGGTTGATTGGTAGAAAGCTCCACAACCAAAACATCCAGCTCAGAGAATCGAACACCACTACAATCACCCACCTGAGCTACAAATCTTCTCCACCATCTCAAAAGTGTAGTTGTATGACTGTAATCAATTTTGAGCAGTTTAACCGAACTTACCCAACGATCGCATCTTTAAACATGGCACAGATCAGTAGCCAATCAATTTATGAACTGATTTTATGTTTTGTTTTGAATGGTCTTAGTTTTCTACTGCCTTACCTCTAGATAAATTCATATTGCTCAAACTTGAATGAGTTATGAAATTGACAGTTTCTACACTTTTCCTCCTCATAAAAGACATTTACCAATTGATTGTAAGTTACTGAAGTTCAGTGTCCCTCACTTTCCTGTCTAGTTCTATCCAATTGCTATCCATTCTCTCGGTGTCTGTCTCCATTTCTCGGCGTGGTATGTTCTTTGACACCCTTCTTTTCGTTTGGCCTTCAGAATTCCAGGTGAAAGCTTGCCTTGTGACGCAGGTGAGTGCTTTCCGCTATGTTTATCCTATCCACTTTAAGAGCTTTTTCTTAATTTCTTCCTCCGCTGGAATATTGGTTTTCCTCTCGCACAGTAGGTTGTTGGTGACAGTGTCTGGCAAACGGATCCTGAGTGTTTTGCATAGATAACTGTTAATAAACCCTTTGGTCTTCCGGATGATGACTTTCGTGGTTCTCCAAGTTTTCCTATCCCCATATGGAAGAACTGTCTTGATATTTGTGTTGAAAATTATGACTTTGGTGTTGATTTATAGCTGTTTTGAGTTCCCGATGTTGTTCAATTGTAGAAATGCTGCCTTACTTTGCCAATCCGCGCCTTCACATCCGCATCAGATCCACCTTGATTGTCGATGATGCTGCCCAGATTTGTAAAGGATTTTACATCCTCCAGAGCTCCTCCATGAAGTATGTTTCTGTTGGTGCATTTTGTGTTGTATCCGAGAATCGTGCTTCTGCCTTTGTGTACGTTGAGACCTGCTGCTGCTGCTGCTATACTGGTCGTCTTCTCCTGCATTCACCGTAGTGTGTGTGTGTGTGTGTAGAAGGGCCAGATCATCTGTGAAGTCTAGATCATACAGCTGCATCCTTGCTGTCCACTGTATCCCATGCTTCCCTTTAGATGGGTTTCAAATCTTAGGTTTTAAAGATTTCAGTGTAAAATCACATTTTCTTAAAGTAATCAATACTGAAACTCACCTTAAATCAAACTCTTCACCCCAGAACAACATATCTGTCATTTGTTTAACTGTTGTACGTGCACAAATTGTACCATTCACTGAGATTGTACAATAATACCTGAAATGATGAGAGGATTGAATAATAGAGAGAAAAAAAGTCAATTAAAATGTCCGCAAAAACTTCAAAAATTCTACTTTATCAATCATATTATGAAATGTCTTTGTTAAATATTTACTTAATTACTTACAATCAATCGTTAAAAATAATAAATGAACATTCTTTACCACTGAATTAATCCATTTCACATCTTCAACTTAATTCTGTGAACATTTGAGAAGTTAGTCCTTTAATATTTTTCATTAACAATTCAAGAATATTTGATTGACCTCAGCCAAATGAATATATAAAAAGTGAAGAAGACTATATTTCTTAAAGATTTGTTGGGGATGTTAGATCCCCAGAACTCGCTTGATAAATGCCTTATTTTGGATTTCACGTTTCCGAGCATGGGCTGATCAGATGACCTTGAGATTTCATTTCCCACCAGGAAAATCCATGGCTGTGATTGGCTGCTGTGTATTTTAGTGTGCTATTTTCTTAACTGTCCCAAGGACGTTTCCATGATGTATAAATAAACGAGAGTTTTGCACTTAATTGTATTGTGATTGCAGGGTGTTTGTAGAATATACTTTCTACGCTTACAAAGCCTTCTTACTCTATTTCGGGGATTCAAGGTAGCCTATCTGGACGCTGGTAATTGTCTCGTTCGGGTTTATCGACTAAGGTGAACTCGTAATAGCCTCAAGCATACCTAGTGACGAACTTATCAAGACTGATTGCCCATGTTTCATCATAACATGCCCCGAAACGCCCTGGTACAACCAAAAACGTCGAGGGGGAGTCTGCTCTGATCACTCTAAATTCTCTCACATGTCCACAAGTATATGTAACTACTGTCACGGAAGAAGTCCTATTCACTCGTGGCGAATTACTGTTTTATAAACCAAATTGGTGGGAATGGAGTATCCATCTAGGAGAATTTGAAAATCCTCGTCCCAAACCGATAAGCTTCAGAATCCTGACGGAATGAATGGTGTATGAACCTATTGATGGTAATCGTCTGACATATGACAGTATCTCTTAATTACACACTTTTAGGTCAAAAAGTTGGTCAGTGACCTCTTTGGATTTGATCATTACGGTAGTAGTTCAGTTCATTCATTCAATAAATTCAATAATTTTTGCGTGGCACATAAATATTTATGTGCCACTTTGTTTAAAGCAATGATCAATATTCAAACCAATACACTTGAAAATCTTGCCTCATACAAATAATTGACGATTCTTATTATCACCTATTTTATAAAGTAATTAAATTTGTAACTTCTATTTATTTCATGTACATACAAATCAATATCACCAAATATAATTACTCTAATGTTTACTTTTTAGAGTAAACTCAATTGATAAGTGTATTTAGTTCAGAAAAAAAAACACAAGTTAATAGGATGAATTTTAACCTTGTAACTAATTTCAGTCAGTCAGTCAGTCAGTCACAATGTGGAACTTTGTACAAACGTACATCAGTTCAAGTTGTCATTGCCACATTAGTATAAAGACATTGGATGGCTAATTCAAATCGAACAGTGGCAGAGGTAGTAGAAGTATTAGCAGTACTGAAAAAAAGTAGGGATCGAAGATATGACTCAAGAAGTGTGCTTCAGTGAGGTAACTTTAGAAATTGAAAGATAGAAGTGATGAGGAATTCAGAAAATTGGAATTTGAGAGGATGCAAAGAATGGCTGCATCTGCGCCATTGCAAACGATTTTGAGCCATTTGGTTCAAGGTCTCTAACCATCGGTTTCTAATGTCTAGCGGAATCCAACCAGGTAGTGAGTCTATACTTACCAACATGGCTTATTTCAGTAGTTATCAGCGACTTCATGGATTTGTTCCATGTTTTGGTTTGGCCTCTCCTAGCTTTCTTCCATCCTATCCTTACATCAGGCATCGACGGTCCCAAATATAAGATCACTACTTTTTTTAAGACATCTATGATCGAATAGTAACAGCCTACTAATATACTCTGTTCTTACTGGACAAGTTATTCTGAACGTTGACCAACCTGCGTCACTTATGGCGAAGGTAAGATATCCGTTTGCTGACTAAAGGACGAGTGTACTGTGCAGTTGTTCGCTCCGTCTTACTTTATGGTTGTGAAACATGGCCAGAAAGAGTAGAGGATATTCAAAAGTTACTGGGTTTCGATCATAGGTGTCTTCGAAGCATTGCTCGTATATCGTGGGACACCCGAGTGAGCAACGCTGTTATTAGGAATCGGGTGCTAGGTAAGAATGGCAGATCAATAGATGAAGTTGTGACACTTCATCAGTTGATTTGGTTGGGACATGTCCTGCACATGCCTAACCACCGACTGCCTCGACGAGCTTTGTTTTGTAGTTTAGGAATAGGTTGGAAAAAAGTTAGGGGCGGCCAAATCAAAACATGGCACAAATCCATGAAGTCAACGACAAGTGGACTTAGCCATGTCGGTAATTGTCGACTACCTGGTTGGTGTCCGCGAGATGATAATAATTGGTGGTTAGAGACCTTGAACGATATGGCTCAAAATGGTTTACGATGGCACAGGTGCATCGACTCTTTGTGTTCTATGAAATCCTAATCTTCTGGATTCTTCAGCACCTCTACATTTGTCTTTCTAACATTATCTCACTGAATTATACTTCTTGAATAATATTTTCTAATCCTAATCTCTTCGATTACTTCTAATACCTTTAATACCTCTTCTATTATTGAATTTGAATTGAAAATTACATCTCTGTGCTGACGTGGTATGGCAACATGAACTGATGTACTTACGTACGAAGTTCTACGTTGCATCTGACTGACTGAGTTATGAATGTTGTAAAGAGTTTTTGAGATTCAAATGAAATTGATAAGTTCGTCACTTAGTATGCTTGATGCTATTACGATTTTACCTTAGTCGATAAACGCGAACGATACTTTTACCAGCTTCCAGGGAGGCTACCTTGAATCCAACGGTAAAACAGAAGTCTTGGTAAGCGTAGAAAGTATATTCTACAAACACCCAGCAATCACACAACAACCAAGCATACAACTCTCGTTTGTTTATACAACATAACAACGTCCTTGAGACAGTTAAGAAAATAGCATACTAAAATACACAGCAGCCAATCACAGCCATGGATTTTCCTGGTGGGAAATGAAATCTCAAGGTCATTTGATCAGCCCCTGCTGGCGAACGTGAAAAACCGAAATACGGGATTATCAAGCGAATTTTGGGGATCTAACATCCCCAACACTCCTCCCCTTTTTAATAGCGTGTTCTCCTGTGGTTGACTTGCATCTTGACTATTGTTCGCCGCTGTCTGAGGGGATACCTTCGGGAACGAAGAACAGCTTGCTGCTGAGTTTCTTCTCGTGGCGGGGCTCTCGGTAGGTTGAAGGTATCAAGCAAGATGTCAAGGGGAAGGCTTTCTGCTCTTGATGGGCGATCTGGGGCTAGCCGTCTGCGTATCTGATTCCGATGACGTGACCATTTATCACCTCCTACCTCTACTTCGTACATAACTCGACCAACCCTTCTGACCACTCTCGCTTCTACCCACGGACCATGGTTCGTTCTGTAGTCGCGGGCAAACACAGGGCATCCTACTTCGTAAGCGGATTGTATTTGCTGCTTTGTCTTTACTGATGAGGGTGCATTAGTCGGATGCATCAGGCTGTGGATCGTTTTCGATCTTCTTCCCATCAGGATTTCAGCTGGGGACTTTTGCTCCGGTAACAATTCATTTGGTGTTGTCCGATAGACGTACAAGAAATTTTGTAATGCTTCGGCTGGCGTCCCCTCCCCTTTTGACTTAAGCAGTGCTCTTTTAAACGTATCCACAAACCTTTCCGCCTGCCCATTCGATTGCGGGTGGTATGGTGGCGAGCGTAAATGTTTAATGGCTAGCCGTTGACAGAAATTCTGGAATTGGGAAGAGGTGAATTGAGAGCCATTGTCGGATACGATCACATCTGGTATGCCGTTTCTTGAGAAAATTTCAGAAAGGAGCTGTATAGTCTTAGTTGTAGTGGGCGGCGTAACGGGGCTGATTTCCGGCCATTTAGAAAAGGCGTCGACGACAATTAAATACATAGTTCCATTTATTGGGCCAGCGAAGTCGACATGTATCCTGGACCAAGGATGCTCAGGTTTGGGCCATGAAACCGGCGGAATTTTGGCATTCATCTTTGCCGCCTGCTGACACCGGATGCATTTTTCAACCAACGCTGTGACATGTTGATCCATGTGAGGCCAGTATGCATAACTCCTGGCTATGGACTTCATTCGTTTAATCCCAGGATGACCAAGATGGAACTGTCTCAGCACTTTTGCACGAAGGGATGCTGGAACCACTACTCTTTCACCAAACATGGGACAATCGTTCACGATGCATAGTGAATCCCGCCGCTGATACAGTTGCTTCATGTCACCTTCAAAGTTTTTCGACGGCCAACCTTTAGTGACATATTTCATCGTCATCTTGATGATGGGGTCGTTTCTAGAAGCATTTTGTATGTCTGTTGCAGACACCGGTAATGCGCGAACTGCGGTTGTCAGATAACATTCTGCGTGGTCTTCTACTGACAGAGATGCGATCACCATGTTTTCCTCAGCCGCCACTTGATCATTAATGAGTCGTGACAAAGCGTCTGCTTGACCGAATTGTAGAGTGCGTCGATATTGGATTTCGAAATCATACCCCAAAAGTACCAAGGCCCATCGCTGAAGACGATTTGCAGAATGGGCTGGAATGCCAGACTTTGAACCAAATATTGCTAACAGAGGCTTGTGATCTGTGAGGAGCGTGAATCTTCGACCGTACAGAAACTTATGGAAACGGCGAACAGCAAACACAAGGGCAAGAGCTTCTTTCTCTATCTGGCTATACTTCTTTTCTGCTGGGGTTAGTGTACGGGATGCATGCATAACGGCTTTTTCTGACGCGTCTGGAAACTGATGTGACATAACAGCACCTAGGCCATATGCTGAAGCGTCTGCTGCTACGATGATCGAAATGGATGGATCGTAGTGTGTTAATAACAATTCCGAGCTAATTATAGACTTGAGTTTATCAAAAGCCGCGTCGCACTCTTTAGTCCAGTTCCATGTGCTATGCTTCTGCAGTAGACAGTTCAATGGAGCGCGAATATCATGCATCGAGGGAACAAAAGCTGAATAATAACTGATTAAACCGAGAAAAGATCGTAATTCGGAAACATTAGTGGGAGTGGGCATCAGTTTGATAGCTCGGATGTTTTCAGGATCCGGTCTGCGACCGTCGGCATCAAAGATGAATCCCAAATACTTTACCGACTGCAATAGAAACTTGCATTTTTCTGGGCGTAACCGGAAACCATTGTCACTGATGCGTTGTAGTACCAATGTCGTGCGTTCCCGTAGCTGTTCTAACGTCTTCGCAACAATCAAGATATCATCGAGATAAGCTGCAACCCCTGAGATATCTGACAGGATAGTATCCATTAGTTGTTGGAAGATAGATGGGGCAGTCTTAACTCCAAAAGGTAGACGGTTATACTGAAACAAACCGCGATGAGTGTTGATAGTAAGCAGCTCTTTAGATGCTTCATCGACTTCCACTTGCAAATAAGCATCAGCTAGGTCAAGCTTTGCGAAGAACTTTCCTCCATTCAGCATAGTGAACAGATCTGCTGGAACTGGCAGAGGATAATGATGCTGTTCTAGAGCTGCGTTGAGACCTGTAGAGAAGTCAGCACATATACGTATCGTTCCGTTGGCCTTCTTGATAACGACTATAGGTGCTGCCCAACTGGAGTAAGAAACGGGAGTAATAACTCCTTGTCGTTGAAGGCGATCCAGCTCTTCATCTACTGTTGCTAATGTAGCATACGGTACAGGTCTCTTTGGACGAAAAGCAGGCTAAGCCCCATGTTTCAACCAAAGTGTTGCTTTCATAGCAGTGCATCGACCTAATCCAGGTTCAAAAATCGTTGAAAACTCTGTCATCAGCTTCTTCATATACGCTTCTGGGTCATGTCGTTGTGATGCCAGGTTGCATATGGTATTTAGCGGGACATCAGCCAATTTTAGCTAGTCGAACCAATCTAAACCAAGTAAATTTAGATCAGCTGGCGTTATATAGCATACCCCAGTAAACGACGAATCCCGGAAAGCAACTTTACATTCCAATTGTCCTAACAGACGAAGGTAATTACCACATGCTGTATGAGGCTTCTGTGTTATGTGCTGCAGGCTTGGGCTGCCCAATTTGGTCCAATTTTTGCGTGAGAGGATAGTGACATCAGATGCAGTATCTATTTGCATTCTACACAAATAACCGTTAATATTAGGAGTAATAAATTTCCTCTCACCTGGTGATGAGCTTTGGCAGGAAGATATTAGGCTCAATGCATTGGTACTGGATCTAGGAACAGGCTTCTTAGCACTTCTGGATCGCTTTGGCTTTTTCTGTAGGCAAAAGCCATCTTTATGACCGATGACTTTACACTTCCTGCATCTATGCTGCCTAAATGGGCAGTTCCGTACATAGTGCCATGAACCGCAGTGCCAGCAAGCAGAAGGTGGATTCATTTTGGGTTTTTGGGCCGAATTGGAATTTTTCTTTTCACTAATGGAATGCACGTATGATGAGAGGCCCTTGTTTTCGACCATGGAGGTATCATGCTTCAAGTTTACTAATCTCTGGCACTCTGCAGTTATTTCTTGAAGCGAGATGTTTGGGCACTGTTCAATTTTACTTAGGATTCTGGTTCTTATATCAGCATCGTCGGGAGATTGTAAGCTGCACACAAACACAAGGCACTTAAACTGATCTTCCGTCATTGATGATAATTTAAATCGTTCGCATTCACGATTTACTAAGCCAGCATGCTTTACCCAGTCATCTTCATTTGACTTGATTATTTTGAGGCATTGATAACGAATATTAAAGAGAGATGACTGTTCAGAGAAGATTTGCGACAGCGTATCAATTGTAGCATCAAAAGAGAAATCTCGTGGGTTCTTTGGGAGGATGAAATTACTATAACGTTCGTGTTCGATTGTGCCGAGCTTTCTCAAAAGGATTCTGACTTTGGTGGCGTCATCAAGATTGTTGAGGTCGACCTTGAACAAATCCTCATACTTCTTAAACCAAGACTCGAAAGTCACACCAGCAAGGCCATCAAAATGAAATTCATGAATGGAATTAACTATCGAGTCTGTATGCGGATTATATGAATCATCGGCAAAACCTCTGTGATTCAAATTCATTTGTTTCATTAACAGCTCCAACATACGTTCCTGGAACTGTTCATATCGTTTACCTTGACGTTCCAGTAAAGATTCTAACTGTTCAAGATTAATTGACATTGTGAATTGTGAGCCCCGTCGCCACTGATAAGTTCGTCACTTAGTATGCTTGATGCTATTACGAGTTTACCTTAGTCGATAAACGCGAACGATACTTTTACCAGCTTCCAGGGAGGCTACCTTGAATCCAACGGTAAAACAGAAGTCTTGGTAAGCGTAGAAAGTATATTCTACGAACGCCCAGCAATCACACAACAACCAAGCATACAACTCTCGTTTATTTATACAACATAACAACGTCCTTGAGACAGTTAAGAAAATAGCATACTAAAATACACAGCAGCCAATCACAGCCATGGATTTTCCTGGTGGGAATTGAAATCTCAAGGTCATTTGATCAGCCCCTGCTGGCGAACGTGAAAAACCGAAATACGGGATTATCAAGCGAATTTTGGGGATCTAACATCCCCAACAGAAATCACAAACATCTGTAATCTCAAACAGTGACTGATTCATGATTTCAGTAAAATAATGTTACGTTTAATAACTGATAATTGTGAAACATTAAACCTACTTAAACAAATAATAATCTCAAAATCAAATTAGGAGATCAAAGCACAACATGAAGTTACTGACAACTAGATTGAACCATGTTAGTAGGTTAAGACTACAGGGTTGGGATCTGCGAGACAGTAGTAACCGACGGTTAGAGACTTAGAATGACATGGCTCAAAATCGTTTGCAATGGCACAGGTGCATCCACTCTTTGTGTTCTCTCAAATTTTAATCCTCTGGATTACTCATCACCTTTATCTTTCTCTTTTTAAATTCACTTCAATGGACAACACATCTCGAACTATATCTCCGAATCCTAATTTTCATCCACTAACTTCTACTAACTACATCAATGTTAGGATATTCATCGAATATCCTAAGAGAATTTTTGGTTAATCGTATAAGTTAATTCCTACTGGTCAATTTTATGGTCGTCCTGACTATCGATGTCACTCCAAATGTTGCTTCCTATTGGTCGTCTTAACTGTCAAGGTCACAGGCTTCGATGCTGTTTCCTATTCGACCAAAGTGTATTAATACGCATTATGTGTAACGTTTTATGACCACGATCAGGACTCGGTCCCGGATCCCTAGTCTGGTATCCTGATTCTCTTCTGGACTCGGACCTCGTAATTTCTGGATGTTTGTAGAATACATGTTCTACTTCATATCACGGGTAAGGATAATCGGATTTGAGTAGCATGTCGTGTCGCCGGATTCTCGCTCTCGTTTTCCGACTAGGTAAACTCGTAATGGTTCAAGTATATCAAGTTGACATGTTTACGTGCAGGCGTAACAATCTACCACTGTGGGATTCGAATAGACAATTGCATCTCTGTGTGTTGATGTGATATAGCAACTTGAACTGATATACACATGAACGAATCAAGTTCCAAATTGTAGCTGACTGACTGACGTACAAATGAAGTAGGGATCAGTTGTGCATGGTACCAAGTGATACTCAACAACCTTTCTCTTCACACACACACACATTGTACATAATCTTCACAGAATCAATAAAATTCACATCATATATTATTATGACTTACTTATTTTTCATCATTAATCCTTTGGCTTCTTGAATCCATATGTTTAAACAATTCTCTATACGTCGTTGTGTATCCTGGGATGGATTGATTAAACGTTTTAAACTAAACAATAAAAATAAAATTTTACACGAATTACGAAATTATAATCAATGACTGTACAGAGAGAGATGTATGTAGAACAATTTTTCACCGGAAATTAAAGACTAAATCACCTTCCATCACATCAAGTCTAATTAGTAGATAGGCAAAATATAGTCTCCTAATGGTTGGAGGAAGTTTGTAGCTCAGGTAGACAGTGATGATGGTGGATTTCGATTCCCTAAGTTGGGTGTTCAAGGTTGTTGTTGTTGTTGTTTCAAGGTCACCAACAACCAATCAACATCGAGGTCAACACGACAAGCTGCCAGTCATATGGTGGAAAAATTTGAATACTTCACTTTGTGCTGCCGATGATGATGTTGTTCGGGAGAAGTAAAACAATGAAACCGCCACAATTAAAACTGTTCAACTCAGAAGACAAAACTCAACCATAAATATAGTCTAACTCTAACCTTTAAATTTCGACCAAAACAGAAAAGTTTTGTGGTATGTTTTGATTTTTGTATAGTAGTATATCTGTTTTATTTTCTAAAAGATGTTTTGGTTGTGGAGTTTTCATTGTTCTTCTTCCGAACAACAATATCATCAGCACAAACTTCAGATAACAGAAGTGAAGCATTCGAATTTCTCCACGTTTGACCTGTAGCTTGTTCTGCTAACCTCGATGTTGATTGGTTGTTGTTGACCAATTAGCGGTTAAATATTATCTGATACCTTCTGAATTCTATCCATAGAACATAATTTGTGTACACACAATTCAATGGAGCTTCAACGAAAGTTGTTTTTCTTAGTTTATTGAATAGCTGTGGAAGTTTCAGCATAACTAACCTTATGTACTTTAATTGATTAATACTATGGTTTTAGACTATGATCAGCTGAGAAGAATCGATTCAATATTTATGTGTCACACAAGTCAATTAATCTGTGTGTGTGAGCTAGGAGATAACTCAGATATCCAAACCGAGGCAAATGGTGTTCTTAGAAGGCCACTCCTAGAGCGTTTGTCCTACAAGTGTAATTCACAAGTCAGTGCAGCAACGTCGTGAGATGCAGACACATGACAATCGATCACCATCAGTAAGTTCAGATACTCTTTGTTCCCTCAGGATATTGGAGCCGATAAGTACGATTCGTTTGGAATTAAAGTTTGTTTTATAATTTCCTCTAGGATGAATCCTCCAAACCCAACAACTTGGTTTCAAGAGAATGAGTGGACTCCTCAAACTCTCCGCTGTACCAGGGCATATGTGGGCAATATTAACTCAATTCAATTAGGATGCATTCATGGTAGTAGAGGACAGATCATTTGTAATTGGTAAAAATCAGTATCGGTAAAACACAAAAGCAGTTACAGATATATCATTTCTTTTGTTAATAGAACACAGTCAACTGAAAATAGCTTTACAATTTAAAATGATGAAGACGATTTCAAAACAAATTAATTGTTAACTCAGCTGATTCAAGGATGAGAATACTGCTCAGGAGTTCTCCCAATCCTACTTTACTGGTGTGAAACATAGTCACTAAGAATAGAGAATATTCTTGGGTTACTTGTATTCGATCATCAGTGTCTTAGAATCATGGCTCGTATATTCTGGGACCACCGACTAAGCAATGATGACGTTAGGAAAAGGGTATTAAATAAGGATGCTTTATCAATTGAGGAAGTAGTGAATGTTCACCAACTGGCGTAGTCGGGACATGTGTTGTGTATACACAACCACAACGAGTTTTGTCTGATATGGGAGCTGTTTGGAAGATAGCTAGGGCCGGCCAAAGCAAAACATGGTAGAGATCCATGAAGTCACTGACAACTGCACTGAATCATGTTAGTAGGTATAGACTATTTGGTTGGGATTGGTGAGACAACTGGAACTAGTGGTTAGAGACTTTGAATGACATGGCTCAAAATCGTTTGAAATGGAGCAGGTGTTCTCTCCAATCCTAATTTTCTGAATTCCACATCACCTTCATCTTTCTCTCTTTAAGTTTATTTCACTGAATTATAATACTTGAATGAAATCTTCAAACCCTAATCTTTTCAATTACTGCTCATACATGTACTACCTCTACTACTAAGGGATTGAATCGACAATTACATCTCTGTGTGCTAATGTTGTAACGCATCTTCAACCGGTGTGCGTACATACTAAGTTCTACGTTGTAGCTGACCGACTTTAATTCAACAGTTTCAAAGTAAACTGACAAGTTTTATACAAATATTACCTATACAAAAAACTAGTCATATTAGATAAAATAATTTTAGTTTATTTAGACTCTTACATTAACATAAGAGTATCACTTTAATATGAATTTAAAAATGGTCTACCCATAATTATTAGTAGTATCTGTCAAAACATACTTCATCTCATGATATTTATCAGTAATTTGTAATGAGTCTCGAAAGAAATTTGAAAGTGTATTGACGTACACAAACTATCCGACCGTAGCTGTTACCTTGACGTAGTGGTCGGGCTGGCCTATCGTGATCTACCAACCGAGCTATATTGGCTGGAACATGTGTTCCTGCAGGTCCTACCATGCCAGGTAGGTCGATTGGAGAACGATGAGACTAAAAGCAGCTACTCAAGGTCTGAGGGAGATGTCGTGCTGCTGACTGCAGAGGGGTGTGACAGCAATGCAGTGTTTCCCTCGAACAACCAGCATCTGTAGCGATGCTACCTTCTCACAAGGAAGGATTGGGTTAGAAAACGTCGACCCTAAAAATGTCACACCTCACCCTACCTCACGGATTTCCGTCTCCGGTAGTAAGAGTGCCCACTAAGCGCTTTTAAGAGTGGAGCTAATACTCTAAAAACCTTTCATAGAAAGGCAGTGCGTGACCGGCCTCAGGCAGTTGTCCCTTGGACTCTGCGGTCACGCACCCAGGTCTCTAAGACCAACAATAATCTACCTTTCTTTTCGGGTTCCTCTATAAACAACCTTCCACGGTGTGAGCAGCGGGGAAGTGACAACCGCCCTCATACCCGTTACAGTATGCGAGACCAATTAGGTCACAATCAAATCCTTTCTACTACTACATGAAAAACATATCTCATTACGTAAATTTCATTTAATTGACCATTTAACTCATTCAGTATAACATAAGAGTGAACTTAACAAAAAGGATCTGCCTTTTTTCTAGGTACTGGTTAATATTTTTACAGTATGTAACTGTGATCATAAATAGTATTTGACAGAAGATGAGGTCACCATTTGTCACTGAAATTGTGAATCAATCACTGGTAGGCCACCCCTAAAAACTTGGAAGCACTGGATGAATTTTTTGTCCAACCGTGTGAATCATCAGCAGTGAACATCCACATCATCCGCTACTTTCAGGGTTCGAACCAAGGACCTTCGGTCTGGCGCGTGAACTCCTAACCACTGGACCACTGAGCTGGCGTCCAACGATGCTAATGTCTAACTCTGATCAATCTAAGAATTTCGGCGCAACCTTACCCACTTGTCTTCGGTAGGTAACTGCCTACGGTTGAACTCCACTGATGATCACGTCTTGTCACTAGAACTCCGAGCACATTGTACGAGTTACACTGTAGATTTATAGAGATTGTTGTTTCTGTAATTGAAATCATGAACTAGTTATATTTGTATGCATGATTCATTTTGTTTTGTTATTTTTGAAACGGCCTACATTTTCAATTGTATATTTTGATTTACAATTATGTCAATTAGTCTGATATAAGGTGATAACTTTTCAGAATAAAAATCAAAACTAGACAAGTGTTTATATTAATCTAAAAGTACAGTCATCCAGTGTATTGTTAAATCATTCATTCTATACGATAAATAAATCTATGATGTGATTGTATACTAAGAACAATAAGACAGTTAAACTCATTACTATTCAAAGTAAAGACAACTGTGAGCTAATATACCGCGAAGGCGGTATACGACAGCCTGGACGGTGCCACCGAGAAGACGGCGTGGGAGACGGTCACCAGGCTGCTGATGACGGAGTTCGACAGCCCAGTGGACAGAAAGGAGGCGCCGCAGAGGTTCCGGTTGGCGAGGCTGTCGGCTGATGGCGACCTGTTGGTGCTGGCTGTGGAGCTCACGATGTTGCTGCGCCGTACGCTGGCGAGTATGGATGGGGAGTCGGGGGCACGGACGCTGTCGTGGCAATTTATCGAGAGTGTGCCTGCCGCCGTGTCCCAGCAGCGGGAACTAGTAAACACTACACGTTGGATAGATGCCGTACCCGTTCCAGACCAGCGGGCAAGAACAATGACCGAAGTAGTAATCCGGCATATTGTAGCGTCACGGAATACGGAAGGTGATATTAACTGACCAGGGTCCCTGTTTTGAAAGACTACAACGACAGCTTATTAAAAGGGGGGACGAGTGTGGTGCGAGCTACTTATAAGTAGTATATGACGTGAGTGTCAACGTAATGTCCGGCAGCATAATATGGGGGAAGATCAAGAAAGGAAGAGTTAGAGCACAATGGAATTTGTATGAAACGCATGAATAGTGACAATGGATTGATGTTTTGCAACAGGAACAGTCCAGTTTGATATGATGGACTGATATTTTGCAAATGAACGATTTACGATATGGTTTTCCAATTTTACTGAGTAACTCTGTAATTTTCGTTAAATACAATCTGGTTTCCCCACCTATGTTCTCGTTCACTTGCACAAGAACATAGATTGATTGAATTTGAATGTGAACACCAGTGGATGTCAGACTTAGTGCTGCAGAGGTTAAGGAGTTTGTGCGCGAGACCGTAGGTCCTATATTCGACTCCTGCATGACAGGTTATGCATGCTTACGCTTGAAGAGTTCTATACTAGGACGGAGGTAGTAAAGGTATTAGAAGTAATCGGAGAGGTTAGGATTAGAAGATATGATTCAATGAGAAAAGTTTAGAAAGTCAAAACTAGAGGTATTGAAGAATCCACAAGATTAGGATTTGAGAGTACATAAAGAATAAATGCACTGGCGCCATTGCAAACGATTTTGAGCCATGTCATTCAAGGTCTCTAACTATCGATTATTATCATTTCGCGGACACCAACCAGGTAGTCGACAATTACCGACATGGCCAAGTCCACTCGTCAATGACTTCATGGATTTCCGCCATGTTTTGATTTGTCCACCCCTAACTTTCTTCCAACCTATTCCTACTCTTCAATAAACTTCATATCATATCGAATTGATTGTAAAAAAAAACACATTATATCAACCAACATATAACTGAATTAAAATTATTCTTCAAAAAATATATCAAAAACAAATAAAAAAAAATTTGAAAAAATCTACTCACGAAATTAATGATCTAGTTAATGGTGGAGTAAATCGATAATCTAAAATGGGTCTTTGTATTGTCATGAAATGTTTCCTATCATTTGTCATCACCTTATGACTGTTATCATTGTTATGATCAAGTTTGATCATTGAATGTGTACGTGGTTTAGTAATCACTGTTGTTGTAGCGTGTATATGATCTAAATCAATTAAAGTTAATTCACTTTGATGATTTTTTGACGATGGCATTGAATATTGAACATCATCATATAATCGTTCATCTTTCAATTTCGGAGTAGAAAGACTTCTTAATTTACGAAAACACTGATCCATTATGTATGAATTGATTGTGTTACACAGAAAGACGTTTCACTAAATGAACTTTGTGACTTGTAACAATATATATATTTAATCCATTGTATAATAAAAATGTCAGTTTATTAAAGTTGACTAAGTAAGTAAGTCACTACCGTTAACCACCGACAAACGCTTAAATGCTACTTATCGAATGGAAAACAAAAGAGTTTTACACATGTACGCATTACAAAAACACATACAATTTGTGTGTAGTGTAATGCACACGCACACACACACAAACAAACAGACATTTATCATTGTACAAATGTGGGTTTCAACTAGTCTCAAATTATGAGAGTCGAGTTAAGAAAACTGATGGAATCTCACACAATTTTATTGATTTATTCAATGGTGGAATTCATTCTGATTGATGATTGGTTAACAGTCAGTCAATTGACAATGTTATATGTCTGTAAAATCAAAAAAAAACAAAACTCTACTACCTGTGTCTGTCTATGCAATTAGAAATAAATTGGAATATGTGCGCGCTTTGTTTTGAACATTGAACAAGTTGATTGTTACAATTGAGTGTGGGTGTAATTGATTTTGCATTGGAAATTCTATGCTATTTTTACTGGTTAAAGTGTTGCGGTTTGATTGTAGAACCTCCTCACAATGTCAACAATGTAAAATTTCTCGCTTAACCAATCAGTTAAATAATAAAGGTCACATGTATGAAAGTTTACATAAAATTATGGTGGAGGAACATGATGAATTTGACAATAGACAGTATATAACTGTAATTAACTCAATAACAGCAACAAAAGTTATCGAACTTTATTGGGGGAATTGCTTTAAATTAATTTAGACATTCAGTTCAATGTAGAAACAGGAATTAGAATAATTTAACAGTTTAATTTCAAGCTGGACGATCTGGCTATTCTGTCGCATACGCAACAACAAATGCAAATCAGTGCAGCGGTAGCTTCAATGTCAGTAGGTCTAAACATACCATAAAGGAAAAAGCAAGATTCCCCGATACAACGCATTATGCACCAACCGAACCACACTTCATGGAGAAGCTCTAGAGAGCATCATTTATAAACAACGTGAAGACGCGAATCAGCAAAGTAAGGGAAGGATTTCTACAATTGAGCAACATCTGCAACTAAAAACAACTGTCTATCAACCAACATTAAAGTCATAATTTTCAACACGAATATCAAGATACTTCTACTATATGAGGTGAAAACTTGGAAAACCACGAAAGCCATCATCCATAAGATACAAGTGTTTATAAACAGTTGTCTGTACAAAATACTTTGAATCCATTTGGCCAGACACTATCAGTAACAACCGTCTGTGGGAGAAAACAAACAAGATTCCTCTGACTGAAGAAGAAACGCTCGGAGTGGGTAGAACACATATTGAGGAAGGCAGCCAACTGCGTCACAAAACAAGCCCTCACATGGAACCCTCAAGGTCAAAGGAAAAGAGGAAGGCCAAGGAACACATTACGCCGAGAAATAGAGAAAGACATAAGAAGAATGAACAAAAACTGGAAAGGGAAGCCCAAGACTGAGTAGGTTGGAGAACACTGGCCGGTGGCCTATGCTCCATTGGGGGTAACAGGCGTGAGGAAGTAAATAAGTTACTTTTTCGAAGGGATTTAGAACTTCGTTTGTTTTCCATGATGTCGAATAAAAAAAAAGAGATGAAAATTAATCAATTCAAGTTATTGTCAATACAGATTACTTACAATTGTACCCATCGATCTCTTTCCAGCGCTGATTGACATGAATAATTGTGAATGACAAAGGGGATATTGACAGTTTCACCAGTGTTATCCTGAGAATGAAGGAGATTTGATGGGTGTATTGTCGAGAGATTATTATTAGTCTCAAGACGTGGACATGGAACATTGTCAGTTTTTCTTTGTGGGCTATCAAACCGAACGGGATCATCGTTGATCATTGCTGTTCGTGATGGAGACATAACCTTTAAAAAGTAGAAAATTACCCAAATAACATTAATGTAGCTTAGAGTATTATAAATATTTCGAACAATCTTATCATTCATAGTCTCTTTTAATCATACACTACTTCTGGTGATATTGATTTATTATGCAGCATAGTATGTGAATAGGCGGCCTGCTTCAATATCCGGGCTACTTGTTTTCTAACAACAAACTCTTTCAACAATTTACCTCACCACTCCACAAATTTTTCCTATCATCTCAACATCGTGCATTGTTTGTCGAGGCTGTGAGTCGGTGGAAAGAAGAGTGGTACAGTTTTACAACACGACACCGAAGTATGAACTTGACACAACTGAGATCTATCATTCAACTATGACTCATTATTTGGATTCTTAGAGATCTAGTAAATCAGTGATTTTAGTCCTTACCAAAAATGGCTTCGAATATAAGCTAGTTGCGACTCTTCTGTACTACTTGCAGATAAATCCTTTTAACTCATATAAATCTAACTTGGAAGTTATCAGTTTGGATGAGAATCTATTCCAGAATCGATGTTTCTCCCAGAGCGTAACCTCAACTCTGAGATTCAACTATGACAACCTGGCGAGTCCCAAATGGAACGAAACACACACCATGAATTCTCCTGTTAGCCACCCTTCATCTTTGCTAATATATACTTGTAACTTAACGATAATATATCAAGGCAATCCACACAGGATGCTCATTAGCCGAATGAAACAGATCAATTCCTGACCTAAACATCAATGGGACGATTAAGTCAACCACTAAAAATAAACTTACGAATGTTGTCGTGGTGAAGTTTCGTTCTTTGAGCTGGATGTTTGGGTTATGCAGCTTTCATTGTTCTTCTTCTGAACAACATCATCATCGGCACGAACTTCATGTGTAGAAGAAGTAAAGTATTCGATTTCCTCCATCTCTGACTCGTAGCTTGTTCTGTTAGCCTGATTTTTGTGCTGATGTGCTGATGATGTTATTCAGAAGAAGAACAATGAAAGCTCCACGACCTAAATATCCAACTCAGAGAATGAAACTTCACCATATTCATCCACTTGAACTAAAAATTCTCTCCACCTATAAACTCGCATGAACAAAGGATGTTCATTCATGTGTAATCGCAGTAAAATCAATTTAAAACAGGTGTAAAAAAAAATTCAATTTGATCAGAATTTCAACTTACTTGAAAATAATAATTACACTTATTTCCAATCAAACTTGGATCAATATTACAAATTTGTACTAGATGACTAGTATCACTGTTCGTCATGCCACATGTTAAAACAGACTCTGTCGGTTTCACATCAAATGCATTGTATAATTCTGTTGGTAATTGAATTTGTTCTCCAAGAAATATAAGCGCTCTGTTAGCGCTAATAATTGACAATGATCTTGGAATAGTTTGATCAGAATTAGAAACGGATCTTGATCGACTAGTACATAATAAAAATAAAACAATTGATTAGTCAGTTGACAATTCATTTTTGTTTTTCTGAAGACACTAATTCTGAACATGTTAAAATAGATGACAATTAAGGTCATGAAATATCAGTCAAAAAAAACACTGGAAAACATTACGAAATTAAGACACACTACTAGTCAATAATTTCAGTAGCTAAAAATCAATAATAAAAATATATGAATCTTATTTGTCTCTACAGAGATCTGCAACTAATTTATTCAACATATCCATTAGACATAAATGCTTGATAACAATGAAAGATGCAAAATAGAAAGTGACCGGCTGTAAGTAAGGTGCCCAAACCACTGAAATACGTCATTATTTGAACCAAACTTATGATGACACTTAGCTTTCTTTATAAATGACCTATTTTTACCTTCATTCACTGAGGAATTGTGGAGAAACCTACGGAACTTGGTTCTCGCTTTACTTCCTCAACATGTATCGAACATGACATCTACATAGAGCGAAAGCTATGAAGATGATGGACATACTTTTCAAAGGTTTTGATAAACTCATTGGGTACTGTGAAAAATAACTTAATATACGGTTGATTAACCTTGATTAACACAAGTTACTGAGGATTCGTTGGCCAGACACCATCAATAACAACCTACTATAGGACAGAACAAACCAGATTCCAGAGGAGGTGGAAATTAGGAAGAAGCGGTGCAAGTGGATAGGGCACACACTGCGGAAAGCCTCCAATTGCATCACAAGACAAACCGTCACTTGGAATCCTCAAGACTAAGGGAGAAGAGGAAGGCCAAGGAACATAAGAAATGGAGACAGACATGAAAGGCATGAACAAAAATTGGAAAGAACTATAAAGGGAAGCCCAAGACAGAGTAGGCTGGAGAATGCTGGTCGGCGGCTTATGCTCCATTGGAGGTAACTGGCGTAGGTACGTAAGTGATTAATTAATCTTAAATACAATAATCTAAAAACATGAAGCAATGAACAGCTATTTTATCCCAGTATGAGATTTCTAGTCAGCGCATACTCAAGATTTTCATCAAATACCAAACCCGAAACATTTAAACCTGAAGATAAACAGTGGGTCACTGGAATTAAATCCAACAGTGGTTTCTATGTACAATTTCAGTCGGTGTTTTGAAAAAGTTTAAGTTGATTACGTAAAAATCAAACCAAACTCATAAAAACTATTGAGCTAAAGTTGAAGTCATCTGCTCCCTAGTGAGGTTAGTTGTTCAAGTTTTGTTGAGAACTCGTAACAGGTAGAGATTGACCCTTTCGGGAATGTGATAGTCATTACTAATGAAATGCTCAATACATAAGTCAACTCTCGAGAGTTTGATCATTGTCGGACTCATGCATGTGAATTAATGGAGAGTCTCACGCTAATATGAAACAGTTGACAAATGTCCCGCTACTTTTCAGTTACATATCAACTCACATTAACACTGCTGAATCACTGTCGATGAGGAAGAAATTCAGAAAAAGAGCTGGAGGCAGAAAGAACATACTTCACGGAAATCGGTTAACAGCATCACAAAGCAAACCTTCGCTCGATACCCTCATGGCCAAAAGAAAACAGATAAACCAAGAAACACACTGTGCTAAGAATAGGAGACAGACATGAACAGCGGCAATTAAGAAGAAGTGGAAAGGAAGGTGGAGGGTAGAGTTGTTCGGAGAATGCGCCTGTTACCAATAGTAGAGCATAGGCCAACAATCATCATTCTCCAACCTACTCTATCCTCCACCTTCCTTCCTAGTTCCTCCACCCGACTGTTGTTCATTCTTCTCATGTCTATCTCCATTTATCAGTGTAATATCTTCTTTGACCTTGAAGGTGCCAAGTAAGGACATGTCTTTAAACGAAATTGGATGTGCATTCCTCAGTGTGTATCCTATCCACTTCCTGATTTCTTCCTTTGCTAAAATCTCGTCAGATATCACTTACAGATTCTTTACTCCTCAAGGGTTAACCAACCCCCATTAAAATAAAGAAATATGCTTGAATTACATATTACAACTTGTATGCATCAATCAATGTGGTAACTAAATTTGTGTTATCAATTTTTGTTATAAATGAAACTTGTCATCTCCAAGTAATTTCGATTCATCATGATGCATATTTGTGTATCATACGGTGTGTGTGTGTGTATGCGTACTATTTTTATATCTGAACAATTTCAAAATGTATTTTCTTGTGTGTTTCATTTTCACATGAGAAACTATGCGCATATATCATTATTATTATTATTACTGTTTATACAGAAGTAAAATGACTTGATCATTTTTTTAAGAAAAAAATATATATACAAATTGATATCGGTTGATTTTAAATGTGTTTAATTAAAACATTGACAATTGAGCGCGCGCGCGCGCACTCAAACACACACGTACATACACCATGGAAAACTTTCAATCTACATGCATCTATCTCACTTGTGAAACATAATTTTTCATTGAAATTCCTTAAAGTAGATTGTGATTTTTATTTTAAAAAGAAGAAAAAAATTAAGAATTCAAAATTCAATTTTTTTTTGTTCGTTGTTCCAAAAAAACACATTGATTATTGAATTTGAGATAAAAAAAAATGGTGATATGCGATTGTTTTGAGTTAATATGATCAAGTTATTTCAAGATTTATATAGAGAACCACATGGGTGTGAAACATAGTTAGCAAGAATAGAAGATATCCGTACGCTAGTGGTATTCGACCGTAGGTGTCTTCGAATCATCGCTCGTATATCCTGTGACCATCTAGTAAGAAGTGCTGCTGTTAGGAAAATGGTACTAGGTTAGAATGGAAGATCATTTGATGAAGTAGTGAATGTTCATCGGTTGAAGTGGTTAGAACCAACCACCGACTGCCTCGACGAGCGACGACTCCTGGTATAGTGATAGGCCGGAAGAAGGCTAGGTTTGGCCAAATCAAAACATAGTACAAATCTATGAAGTCATTGACAAATTTGTTAGTTGAATTTCTAGAACGATTAACACAAACGATTCGTGCAACGCAATGTCTATAAAATAGTTTGCAATTCATATTGATAGAAGTAACGTTTTGATTGTGTGGTTTTCAGTGTTTTTCTTCTGAACAACAACACCGTCAGCATAAACTTCAGTTAGAAGAAGTGAAGTATTTGAATTTCCGATATGACATATCGGAAATTACAGCACGACTACTGGAGCCATTTAGAATAGGTGTAGCACACAAACCAACAGAATCATTTAAAACAATCTTATGTAAACGCGAAAGGACAAAATGACGAAGGAAGAAGAACCAAATATCATCTACAAAATAAACTATTGCTCAGACTGTGAAAAACACTACACAGGACAGCTTCGTTTACGTGAACACCAATTAGCAGCCAAACGCCATGATGATTCTTCTCTTATATCAATACACAAGGACAACTATGGACATACATTCGATTGCAACAACATGGAAATACTGGGTAGGGGGAGGACAAAGAACGCTAGGGAATTTTTAGAAGCTTGCCACTCAGGTAAGTCAGCAATTAACAGACACATCGACATTGAACCAATTTACCAACCACTCAGAAAATTCATAGACAAACATAGGATCAAGAAACAGACCAAAATTGAGATACAATCAAAACAAAGGTGCAATCAACGGTAGGTTTAAGGTCAGTAACAACAACCAATCAAGATCGAGGTTAACAGAACGAGCTACAGGTCAAACGTGATGTTGTTGTTCAGAAGAAGAACAATGAAAGCTCCACAACCAAAACATCCAGCTCAGAGAACGAAGCAAGACCACAATCATCTACCTGAGCTACAAATTTTTTCACATCAACAGTTAGTGATTGGTGACGATTTACAGTCTAATCATCTCTTCCTTTTTCTAATCTAATCACAAGCCAGCTAAAAGTTATGTATGAATGAAGGTGACCGTTGGCGATTTACGACATATGTCCTAACCACTTCAGTTTATGAAGATTTACAGCATCATAGACTGATTAGCCAGATTTTTTGAGTATTCTATGAGTGATCTTAACATTGGTTACTTTGTTGTCCCACAAAAATCAATTAATGCTTCTTAGACAATCACAACCGAACAGTTTCAGCCTTTTGATGCTTTCTACTTTCATAGATCATGTTTCACAACTCTGAAGTACAACGGAGCGAACCAATACGCAGTATACACAAACTTTGATTGACAGACAGTTAATCTCGTTTGCACCACAAGTGATCCAGTCTCAATCCATGCTGAGATTAATTTAGAAACCAATTAACCAGAATTGATAGGCCTACCAAGTTGATTGTAGTGCTCAAAACACTTAACTACTCTTATTACCTATGACTAATTTTAATTGATGATAAAAATCAATAACGAAGTAACATTTTTATGTATGGAATGAGAGAGAAATGCAGGTGAGACTCTTGATAGGAAGAGATTACTGCTTGCTATGATATGATAAAGTTAAATAAAACTTGAGTATCATTGGGAACCCTCATAAACACCATTTGATACTGATAATTCCGATTATAGTCCCTCTATGAGTTCTGACATAATCAGTCGTCTTTCGAAAATAAGTCATCATAAGGTTCAGGTATCAGCACAGTACATCATTTAATTTAGATCATGAAGCGATTAATATTAGACAACCATTAGAAGCCCAGAAGCACTTAAAACCGGCCGTTTCGTCCGAGTATGGGGTTCATCATCAGTGCGCATCCATGATCTCCACTCGCGGGATTCGAACTTAGGACCTTTGACCTTGTGTGTGTCTGAAGGGCAAACACTTAATCGATAAGTCTATACTTACGTATGAAGACCAATATTTTAAATTTGATATTCATCAGTGTGATTGATCTCCGATTATCTCAAAAATATGTTGAATCTTTCTTATAAACTAGAATGATCCCTAAACATAACCAGTCAAACAGAATTGCGCCTAATTCTCAAGCTGTAGATGGTAAATCAGTCAGTCAACTTAACAGATGAAACTAGGCGATCATTCTCAATGCCCT